GTGAGCCGCCCAAGGGCCTCAATCTCGAGGAGGACAGCACGGGGAGAAACGATGCCGTCGTCGTCTGCATGTATGCCCTGGCCTTTGTGACCATTGGCTTTCGGTTATTTTCCCGGATAAAGGTCCAACAGGCCAACATAGGACTTGACGACTGGCTGATAATAGGAGCACTGGTATGTTGTACTTCTTCGTTTGAGAACTGTTGTTCTAATTATACTACAGTTATCAGGTACAGCCAACATGGCTTGTGCAATAGCAGGTTCGTAGTAGCCCACCCTACTTGACAATATACTATGCTGACATTGCTCTTAGGAGGACATTATGGCCTTGGGAAACATGTTTGGGTTGTCACTTTAGATGAAATAATCAACATGGTGCATGTAAGATACCCCTTGATAGCCTTCTCTTGATATATATCGAGCTCACATCAATGCTTCAGATACTATACGCCAACGTGCTCCTTTATATCCTCACTGTTCCCCTCATCAAAGTCTCCATCATACTCTCATATCGCCGACTCTTTGGTATGCAGTGGACCATGTGGGCTTGCATCGCCCTGTCCATCGCCTACTGGATAGGCTGCTCAGTCGCCTTTCTATGCTCTTGCCAACCAGTCTCATATTTCTGGACACAATACGAAAACCCCCTCGGTGGTTACGTCCGATATGATATTTACCCGTTCTACATTGCTCATGCCGTCGCCAACATGGTGGGCGACCTTCTCATCCTTCTCGTTCCAATTCCGCTAGTCTGGCGCCTGAAGTTACGAGTGGGACAGAAGATCCAAATTCTAAGCATCTTCCTTCTCGGTGGCTTGTAAGTCGACTACAACAGAACCCTGCCCTCCCTCCAATCAACCCCAACTAATAAATAACCAACAACAGTGTCTGTGTCGCTAGCGCCATCCGTATCTACTACTTCACCTTCATCAACGACGTTGACGTGACCTGGAACCTGGGCAACGTTTTCATCTGGTCCAGTGTTGAACCATCCATCGGCATCGTCTGTGCCTGCCTCCCCGTCCTTCAACCTCTTTTCCGAACAATCATCAACCGCCGGAGCATACCAAACCGAACCACCACGAAAGGTGTCCGCTTCGCACCCGATATCATGAGCAAGATACACGGCGACGATCGGAGACAGACACGAGAAGATGAAGCCGTGTTAACGACAACGTCAGTACATATCGAAATGGACGGTGCAGGCAAGGGAAGGATCAGCGATGAAGAAGAAGCTATGGGGTACGATTTAATGTCTATCAAGGTGCAGAAGGATTTTCAAATGGAGGAAGAGCATCGTCGATGAGTTTTTATGGTGTTATGTTGCGGGTGTTCATGGGCATCTTTATATTCTGGAATTTTCTATTTAGCATATGGGTGGGGTTCTTTTCAAGCTTGTACATACATAGACTTACTTACCTCAAGGTATATACCCCTCCCTCCCTACAGGAGAGATAATAAGATAATCTCCACACAGGCACAATGTTGTGTTGCAGGTTGTAATTATAGTAGAAATGTTTATCTGGGAATCTTACATTGACTGCAGATACTTGAATCAGGGCAGAGATACTGACTAGTTATTCGAGCCGAGTTGGTTGGATCGTTTCATGTGTCTACTAGGGCAGATGCTTTCATAGTGATGTTATCTGTTGTATTTCCCCGATTAAAAGAAGTGAACCCCCCCCAAAACATATATAAAAGCAAAAGCAAAAACATACAATAGAAGATGTATGTTGGTGGCCACCGAGCATCTCAGATTAGTAGTTGCTGCTTTATTCAGTTTTTTTTTAATCATTTTCAGGGTTATTGTGCTAGAATAATAACCTAGTTATCAGGAGTCAGGCCATCGGAATAATATATTATAGTAATTATAAGAGTCATAAGATTATTAATAATAGTTGTATACTTTTCTAATATCTATAAGATACTAATTTCCTTGCATGAGGCTACTGATCCTTTGAGAGTTAGTCTATTTCATGGATATATACTATCTTTATCATTATTAGATGAATTTATGGTATTCAGTGGTCTATTCCTTACCTAGTCAACAGGCTTTCTATTCTGGTAAGTAGATTCTATCACACAGTTATATAGATTTTATTAGGCTAGAGATTTACCACTCTAATTAAGCGGTTAATAGAGGAAGAAGACAAGGACTGGAGAGCTGCCGGTAAAAAGTCATTCTTCTGTATAGGACTTAATAGCCTTCGATATTATCATATTGAACACAAGTTGATTGAAATTCCCTTTTTTCCTTCCTGTGTTTCCATATTAGTATTACCTCTATAGTCATCTTCAGAGAGCAACTCACGATGTGGTGCAGTAACGCTGCTTAGAACGTGCCTCAAACTCCTCTACTGCGACATAGGCTAACCATTGGAGAACATCTTCCATTACTAAGTGCCTCTTGAATCAGTGAATAGTATATCTCTGCCTCCATTACCAATAGATCCACTATATTCCATGTCCAAGATTGCAGCAACAACTCGGGCAAAAGTCAATTTAAGGGTTCTGTCGAAGTTTTGATCGTCCATTATTTGAGGCCTAGACTTTGAGGGAATCAATAGTGGAAGAATAACCCTATTGGCAGGGAGGAAGCGATATGGTGGATATGTAGATCAAACCATGGTTGGGCCGGCGGAATAAGCTGCGGAGTTGACGGATTTAGCGCATTTCCGGCATTCCACACGCCATCGCATTACCAGAGCGAAAGTACCAGACTGTCGGTGCTGAGTATAAAAGTATGCCTTGGAAACCATATGTAGCCCTATCATCAGCACATGCGCAATGGAACTATTTCGGGACACTACCTTTGGCAAGTTGATCCGCGTCCTCACACGAGGCCGAGTCCTGCCCTATCCGGAAGAGACTTGTCCTTCAGCCTGGTCCTTGTATGTTCAGCACTCGCAAGACCCACACGATCCTGAGTTCAGCTTGGAGCCAACAGACTCATATGGTCTCTATACGGTCTTGTCGCAGGCGACCCAGAGCCGCTCCTATGATACGCCAGAAAGTGTGGTGAAAGTCGGGGACGACTTCAAGATAATCACATGGCGGGAGTCAGGGGACAGCGAGGTGAGTCTAATACGCCGAATTTCCTTCTTGCAGACTGTGGCTAACATTACAGTAGAACCCCCAGAACTGGAGTCTCAGCAGAAAAGTCTTTGTCAGCCTACAGATATGGGTGCTCACATTTGCCATCTACATCGGATCTGCCATTTACACCCCGGGAATCCCCGGTGTTAGCGAACAATTTCACGTCAGTACAGTGGCTGCAACGCTAGGACTGACGCTCTTCGTACTTGGGTATGGAATAGGTATGGACCTCCGCCTTTCTGGTTAGCCCGTGGAAATGGCTAGTCGCTCGTATTAATTGCTATGAAACAGGACCCATGCTTTGGTCGCCTTTAGGAGAACTTCCGGTTATTGGAAGAACACCCATCTACATGACAACATTGACGGTGTTTGTCTTCTTCAACTTTGCTGTGATATATGCTAAAAACTTTGGCATGTTTCTTGCCTTTCGGTTTCTTACGGGGATGTTTGGCTCCCCTGTTCTTGCCAGCGGAGCAGCTTCCATGGGAGACATTTGGGACTCTCGTGTGCGCGACTACATGATTGCCATCTGGGGCTGCTTTGCTGTGTCAGCCCCAGTTCTGGGTCCCGTTATCGGAGGCTTCGCCAGCTCCGCCATGGGATGGACCTGGACAATATGGCCGTTGCTTTGGATGTCAGGCGCAGTGCTCGTTTGTTGTTTCATCTTCCTGCCAGAGACGTTTGCTCCAAACATTCTGTACCGCCGGGCTCGCCGACTGCGCAAGATCACGGGAAACCAGAACCTTTTTTGCGAAGCGGAGATTGAGCTGTCAAACATGAAGAAGACGGTAGGTTAACACCCGCGCAGCCTATCCTGCCTCATGCCAATGTGACTAACGAGTTTATAGAGCGTTGTGTTTGAAGCATTGATTCGCCCGTTCCAGCTCTGCTTCACTGAACCAATCGTTTTCCTCATGAACCTCTACATCGCCCTTATTTACGGCATCCTTTACATCTGGTTCGAAGCGTTTCCGATCGTCTTCGAGGAGCTGCGAGGCTTCAACCCAGGTGAAAACGGCCTTGCCTTTCTTGGGTGTCTTGTAGGCGCCTGCTGTGTCGCAGTGCCAGGATACTTCTACTGGAAATATAAATGGCAGTCCAAGCATATTGACAGCAATGGCAACCTCGCTCCTGAGCAACAGCTGCCTCCGGCTTGCTTCGGTGCCGTCTGTCTGCCGATCTCACTCTTTTGGTTTGGCTGGACAGGCAACTTTGCATCCATCCACTGGATTGCACCTGTCTTAGCTTCACTAGTCTTTACTGTCGGGGCTGTGCTGATATTCAACGCCATCTTTTGTTACCAGACACACGCCTACCCTAAGTATGCTGCTTCGGTACTGGCAGGGAACGACTTCTTCCGCTCTTCGTTTGGCGCTGGCTTCCCATTGTTTGCAACTGCCATGTTCCATAACTTGGGCATTGGGTGGGCGTGCACGCTTCTAGGTTGCCTTTGTGTCGTTTTCTTGCCTTATCCATTTTTCCTTTACTTTCGTGGCCGGCGATTCCGGCTGGCTAGCAAGTTTGCGCGGCATGATATATAATATGGGTTGTGGGCTGTCCTTTTTGGGCGTTTGTACTGGGGGATTTGGAATTGCCACAAAGTGTCTCTGATTTTATTTGATAAAGGTTTACACATTTCGTGGGTTACAACTGTTTTTGTTCACTACTAGCCAAGAAACAGCGTAGTTGCTGCACTATTATAGGGGATCTTCAGCCCTAGCACTATGTCAGTCTTGTGACTGGAACCAAATAATACGGTTGAAACCTAATACCAAGTCGATACATATGTTCGCCTCAGCTAATCCGATAAATCCGGCTGGATCCGCAACACATTGCTTATTTATTGTATCACCACCTTCCTGTGTGGCTTTTCAAATCTCTAACGTAGTAACGTTTGATCTCATCATGACTGACAAGGTATACCCCCTCAACATCCACAGAACGCCCCAAGCTAACGCCACCAGGCTCAAACCCACAGCTTCGCTGACTCAGATGGCCATTTTCGCCGAAAGCCGTCGTCATTCAGAAACTACGTCTCAAGGGATCCAACATCCGACTTCCCCGCCCAAAAGGACCGGTATGTCTTATACCTAGCCTGGGGCTGTCCGTGGGCGCATCGCACCAATATTGTCCGCACACTCAAAGGACTGGAGAATATTATTGAGCTAGTCGTTCTGGACCCCGACCTTGGTCCGGACGGATGGTTCTTCTCCGGGCGGCTGGGAACGGCCGAGAAAGATCCACGGTACGGATTTACGCTGTTGAGGGAACTTTATCTCAAGGCGGATCCAGATTATACCGGCCGATGCACGGTTCCGGTCCTCTGGGACACACAGAAAGAGACGATAGTCAACAATGAGAGCAGCGAGATTATCAGAATGATGTACACTGAGTTCGATGATCTCCTGGAAGAACCCAGGCGTGAACCCAATCATCCAGGTGGAGGCTTTTACCCCGTGCATCTGCGGGCCGAAATCGACGCCTTCAATGAATGGGTATACAACAAGATCAGCAACGGGGTGTACAAAACTGGCTTTGCGACGACGCAGGAAGCGTATGAGGAAAATGTCTATCCATTATTCCAGGCACTGGACCTTGTGGAGGCGCGCCTGGCCCAACAACCGCACCTCCCGTATCTATTTGGCGAACACATCACCGATGCAGATATTCGGCTATACACGACGATCTGTCGCTTCGACGTGGCCTACTACGGGATTTTTCGGTGCAATCTGAAGATGATTCGCTATGATTATCCGCTGATTGATCGGTGGTACCGGCGATTGTATCACGACGAAACCGAAAGGACGCGGGGTGCCTTCCAAAAAACGACCTTTTTTGACATTGTAGGTGAAACAAGTCCGTTTATACAAGGCAGGTGCTAATCATGTTAGTATAAATCTGGATACCTCAAAGCGAGTAGGAGGGATCAGGCTGCCTCGGTAATTGTTCCAGTGGGGCCTTACCCGGACATTCTGCCTTTGAAAGACTGATAGTGAGCTGGACTTGGGTCAAGCATTTGTTGTCTCTCAAAGAGCAGCGGATGCTAGCTGTGTTCTCTTGTTTAGGCTCAATACTTCGTCGTCATTAACTAATTTTTGCGAATTAGCCCATTTTCTGTCTGCTACATTCAAAGAGATACGATTACGACCAGGAGAGGACTATATATTCCTGGGACAGGATATCATATCAACCCTGCTTTGTACCCTGTAGTAGTCAAGCCATATTCACTCCACAAACTCAGCAGGCACTTTGGGTCCCCATACTGCCAACGTGTCCTCCCCAGCCTTAACAAATCCCACCGGTGTATCCCGGTTGACCAAATCCCCATCCGCATAATGCTCAATCATATTCCCCGAGACATCCCACCAGTAATCAAAGATCTGCGACCCAAGAACATGCCGCCCAACTCCCCACGCAGGCCGGTACCCCTTCTGCGCCAGCCACTGATGACCAAGCTGCTGGGCGTCAAAGTCGTGTACTTCAAAGGAGCAATGGTGGACATGTGCCCAGGTTGGGTTAAGGCTGAGAAACAGCGAGTGATGATCGACGGATGTCTCGCCAAGATCGAGGTGCATGAAGACGGTTACTGGGATCCGCTCACCGTTTTGGTCCATGTAGACGAAGTCGGTGGGATTGATGTTGAAGGTAGAGGTGTAGAAGTGTAGTTGCGAGTCGAACATTTGGGTGCTCATACCGTAGTGGCCTAGCTTTGAGTATGTCTTAGACGGAGACTGAGATCGGATTGGGTCAGACAGTATACCTTGTACACCGCGGCTGGGCCTGGTTGGAACCGGTTGAACTGCCTAACGCGTGGTTTATCATCGGGGAAGTTTAGAAGGACCTTGTCAAAAAAGAGGTCTTGTTTGGTGGTGACTTCCTGCTGCCCATAGATCAAATTAAACGGGAACCCCTCGGGGTCCGTCAATGTTAGTAGTAACCCACCTCCGGGGGCGTGCTCCAGTTCTTCAATTGCTCCTGCACTGGGAAGGCGAGATGCTCTTTGATTATTTTTAGTCAATACCCCCCCTATTAGACTCATTTCTGCCAATTCACGGCTTTGGCTTACCGGTCAAATTCCTCACGGCTTTCGGCCTCGAAGACCCCACCAAGGAATTTCCGTGGACCCTTCCTCGCATAGTACACGTACGAATGCGGCCCATAGCCCGAGTACCAGACCTCCTGGTCTGTTTTTTGGGCAACCTGGAGTCCAAAGTCCAGAAGAAATTGGTGGATTTCGTCTAAGTTGGGATGCTGGTAGCGAACGTGAGAGAGCTTCTTGAGACGGATTCGACTACCTGGGTCAATTCCTCGTTTCTCAAGCCAGCTCTCCTGAGATTCCTGGTCATTGCCCATGGCGACGGTGTCCGGTTCCAACATGTTGCGGTTGGGTTGGAGGAAAGGCGAGGCCATTATGACCGTGATGATGGGGATCGTTTTGTTGTAGATTCTTTTCAGATTTTGCTGGGTTGAAATTATGGGACTGCTGGCGGTATTTATTGCCCTCAGCTGTTCCTTGCTATGGTGTAGTATATGATACTAGGTACTTTGAGAGACACTAAGCAGCATTCCCATAGGGGTTCCGCTCCACTCCACCTGTGGAGGATAGTTGCCACACAGTCTGCGGGGACTATGCGGCAACTCACAACCCCCCGGGCTCCCCGCCTCCCCTATATATAAGATGCCACATGCATAGCTAGTACGTGCAATTACCCCAGACACATGTTTGAAAATGGCCGCCTTCCAGAAGTTGGTTCGCTTTGCCGTCGGAGACCAAACCCACTACGGGGAGCTCCTCTCCACCGCCAATGAGAAATACCGCATCCAGCGATACGAGGGGAATCCGTTCGATGGACTACAGCCGACAAATGAGCAGCATGAAGTAGAGACTGTACGACAAATGATTCTACTGACCCATTGTCTGAATATTGCTGATATGATGTGCAGCTTCTCTGCCCAATCGAGCACACTCCAATCTTCATGTGCATCGGACTAAATTATCATGCCCACGCCCAGGAGTCCAATGTACGTCCCACTCCCGCATCAGATCACACACACCAAAAAGAATGACAAGAATTAACAACCTCTTTCGATCCAAGTAGCTTCCTATTCCCAGTTACCCACCTGTCTTCACCAAACCCGCCGACGCCCTGGCCGGCCCTTTTGAGACCATCCAGATCCACCCGGACGCCCAGCCACAGCTCGACTATGAGGGCGAACTCGCTGTGATCATTGCTCAAGACGCCAAGAACGTGTCGGAAGAGAAGGCCCTGAACTATGTGCTGGGATACGCAGCGGGAAACGACCTTTCGGCACGCAACTTCCAACTGCCCCCAGCTTCGGGGGGCCAATTCTGCTACGCCAAGTCATTTGACAAGTTCGCCCCGGTTGGAGAGGTGGTTGTCTCTGCAGCCCAAGTGGGAGATCCCCAGGCGCTGAATCTGGTTACGCGTGTGAATGGGGTGGTGAAGCAGAAGACAAGCACGGGGGACATGATATGGGGGGTGCGGCAGATTATTGCGCATCTGTCCCGTGGAACAACGCTGAGGAGGGGAACTGTTATTTTGACTGGGACCCCGTCGGGGGTGGGTTTTTTTACCAACGATTTTTTGAAGGATGGAGATGTGGTTGAGGTCGAAGTTGAAGGGGTTGGGATGGTTAAGAACAGAATTGCGTATCTATAGACATTGTGCCAAGGTCACACGTGCTAGTAGCGGGGGAAACTGTAAGAATTAGCATAGAGAATAAAGGCCGCAAACACTACAAAGCAATCAACCTAGTATCTGAACGACAGGGCTTACATACTGTGTGCATTATGCTGACCATATACCCACCAGAAGCGTTGTGAATAGGTAAGCAGACCGGGGAGCAAGATAATTCTAGGGCTCTCCTTGTGCAAGAGTCTCCGTGCTTTTGATAGACCCCGCAGCTAGCAAAACCCTGATTGATTACACTATGATATCATGGGGTTGAATAGCGGGGAAGATTCATTGCGGGGAGCTCAACACAGGGTGTACATGATCCATGTGACGCGGGGATGGTTATATCCAGACTCAAGTTATAAGAAGTGCCGTTTCATGGTAGCCAGTCTTATGACCAGATCTGCCTTCATTCTCGAAATATGATTGATTTGTCTTTCTTCGAAGAGGCCCGCGGCCTTCTTATGCACCCCATCCCTGCCGCTCTCATTGTAATCTCAACTGCCCTGCTGTATGCTTTCTTCCTTTCACTTCTGAGAGCTTACAAGCAACCATTGGCATCTGTCCCAGGCCCACTGCTAGCGAAATTCACCACCCTCTACCGTCCATGGCTCGTGGCCAAGGGGAATGCCCCCGAGGCCTATCGCGAATTGCACAGAAGGTATGGACATATTGTACGAACAGGGCCCGAGACAGTCGACATCTCAGACCCGGCCGCGCTCGCCGTGGTGTATGGTATCAGTAGTGGTTTTCTCAAGGTAGTATTACCAGCAGTGCGGACTGGGAGGTCAAATAACTGAAAAGGGCTAGTCTGCGTTTTACGACGTCTCCAGTCCTCTCTACGAAGACTCCCCGATGGCGAGTATGTTCTCAGTCCGCGATCCAGCCCAGCACCGCGCATTGCGACGACCGGTTGCACAGAAGTTCTCCATGTCCTCAGTCAAACTGATGGAGCCCCTTGTCAATGAATGCAATGAGATCTTTCTTCGTGCGATGAGGAGCCATGAGGGCCAGCCCGTTGATCTATCCACCTGGCTGCAATGGTATGCTTTTGACGTGATCGGGGCCATAAGCTTCCAGCGGCGATTCGGCTTTATGGAGGAACAGAGGGATATCAACGGGATGATAGGCGCCATTGATTCGGGCCTCCACTATGCATCAATTATTGGTCAAATTCCGGCTGTTCATCCGTGGGTGATGGGGAGCCGTGTTGTCGCCAAAGTATTGGAGATGCAGCCATTCTTTGATATTCCTAATCCGCTGCGGACTATTGTAGAGGTTGGGCCGACACCCTCACCAACCATAGTATTAGACCAGTGGCTAATCTGTATCCACAGTATACACAGGAATGCATGGAGCAGTACAACCAGAAATCCGCATCGGATCATGACGGCAGACCGGACCTCCTCTCATGGCTCCAGGCCCAGGAGGTCCAGGGGAAACCCATGTCCCATAGGGATATGATCAATCACCTCAGTAACAATCTGTGGGAGCCTAACTACATTTTCCCTACCCCTTCAGCACTGGGGAAAAGCTAACATGTGGCAGTCTGGCCGGAAGCGACACCACTGCCATATCACTACGAGCAATCATCTACTACCTGGTAAAAACCCCGCGAGTGTATAGAAAGCTGCAGAAGGAGATCGACGAGGCCGACCAGGCAGGAAAGCTTTCCCGGTATGTAGCATACGGCGAGTGCCTGGAGCTGGAATACCTGTAAGCTTTGCTCCGCAGCAGCACATAACAAGGGTCCTTATATTGATGCAAGCGCCTTCCACGCACTAGCCAGGCTGTAATGAAAGAAGCAATGCGCTGTCACCCAGGGGTATCTTTCCCGCTTGAAAGAGTAGTCGTACCAGAGGGCGGGGCGGACCTCTGCGGAGTGCATCTGGCCGCAGGAACAGTTGTAGGGATCAATCCGGCAGTGCTTCATCACGACACGAGCATCTTCGGGGACGATGCTGACGAGTTTCGGCCCGAGCGGTGGATTGAGTCAACCGAGAAACAGGTCAAGATCATGGATCGACATTTGCTGACGGTACGTATTGATGGAATTAGCCCATATTTTTCGAGTTCCTAATCTAAACCCTTGTTTTCTTGCTGGATCAGTTCGGCTACGGCTCGCGGACGTGCATTGGGAAAAACATCTCCATGATGGAGATGGGCAAGCTTGTGCCGCAGTTGTTGCGGCACTTCGAGATCGAGTGGGCTTCGGACGAGAACGAGTGGCGGGTCAAAACGTTTTTCTTTGCCAAGCAGCACGGATTGGTTTGTAGGCTGACCTTGAGAAATGTGTAGTAAGATATCAAGGCCAGTATATTTCTAGTATGCGGGGTATACTATGTCTGTATACTTAAAATCAAAGCACATCCTGCAACCGCAACAAAGTTCCCGCAAATCTCTCCGCAACCTTCCAATGGCCAATCTTCCCCAGCAAGCTGATTATCATGGAAAACGGACCTGAGGCCGTCATTCCCCACTGGACCCCTCTCATAGCTTCACGGAATAGCTGACCCTGATCCAAGCCCAGTATTCTGAATTCCGGAAAATTAACACCCAAATTTGACACGCCATCCCCAGTCCCAAAGCGCGTAAACGAGGCCCACGCAATCCCACAGTAATACAGGGCCATAGGAACATGTATAGCTGGCTCCACCCCAATATTCATTGCCTGGAATTGTCGCTGTAGTAACACTGCATGGAGCAAACAGCGTTTGGCGTCGAGTGAGCCCGCCCAGGCTGCCGCGTAGCCCGAGGCTTCTTGGGCGGCGCGCAGGCCCTCCCTGCCCAAGGCACACTCGAGCTCGTCAAAGCGGGCGTAGAGGCGCATGGATACGGCGTGCCAAAGGATCATTTGGCAGAATGGGTCAGGCTTCGTCGGATCGCACGACTGCTTGAATTGTCGGTACCACGTTGCCAGGAGGGATTCGCATTGGTGGACACTGACGGGAGCTCGGTGTTCGTGGATCCAGGTCCCGATGCCTTCAAGGAGGCCGTACGAGAGAAAGTCGTTCGCTGCGAGGCGGTTGAGAGGCAGTCGTGTGACTGCCTCTGTGGTGTGGGATGGGGTTGCCGTATCACGGGGTGGTGCTGTGGAGTTTAGAAGAAGGCATTTCCAGGTGCGGGCGTTGGGTGCTGTGAACAGTTCGGGAGGGGATACGCAGGGGAGGCTCTCTGAGGTATGGCGGAGGATTGGCTCGTGGTGGTGCAGGTTGGTGAGCTCTGCGTCGTGGATGTGAATGGCTAGGATAACTCTTCGCTTTGACATTAGTTACTACGTGGGCAGTGTGTACACATTTTTTACCTACCTTCTCTTCTCCTCTGAGCGGCTCCAAGCCTTCCATGCAGTGTTGAGGGCTGGGCTGTCGTCAGCAATTTCTCGAATCTCGGCTGCGATGTCATTTTCGCCTTGCAGCTTGAATAGACCAGCTTTGCGTGCCCACTGTAGCTGATCAGCATATTTTCCCGTACAAATGAGTAAGTAATTACCGCAATGAGGCATCCATGGAAAGTCTCGCTCCCAGTCAGGTCTTTCGGTCTCTAGTATAGGCGGTTCGTCAGTATACTACTAAAGAAAGGATGGAAAGGAAGGCACACCCCAACCAACAGACCAAACGTCTGACCGATCAAAGCAGCTTGCAGACCAAAGATTCGGAGAGAACCCCTTGCGGATATGTAGGTGTCCCACTGTATACTTCTGTTAGACGCTGCATAGTAGTGACAGTTGGTAGCAAATACCGATGCCAGCATAGCCTTATTCAGGCACTCAAACATGCTAATGCCACGGGCAACAGCTCTCGCCGATCCGAGGCAAAGGCTCCCGATAGAGCAGATGGAGAGAAGTAGCACCGCGTTCTGTTTAGAAGGCTGAAATGTCGCTGCATGGATCAACGGAAAGATTGGATGGAAGTGGGTAAAGTAAGCCCGGATGCAAAGGTCCTGGAGTCATCATCAGGGCCGTCTCTGGAGAGGGTGGACAGGTCAGGGTCGTACCAAGAAAGTGGCGGAGGGTAAGCTATCTGGCTGCTGTACTCGCTGCTGCAGAGTCTCTGCTAGCTTTTTCCTGTACGCGTCATCTGCGTGGGTTTGAATGTCACCGGCCAATCCACTGCTGCTAGTAGTGGAATCCGGGGTGTCCTCCCTTGAGGATATGGTTGCCTCAGAGAAGGTATGCCATCCGCGTTGGATAGAATCCGAGGCGCTCATGTTGGTAGTCATGGGGGTGTCTAACTGTTCTGTGCTTCCTATTATAGGTAAGGTCAGATTGAAATCGCCAATAGTAAAATCGGATCCCTCTAGCCACGAGATCCAATCGGTCTCCCACAAGCAGTTCCATAATGCGGGCCCGGTAGTTTGGGGCTGAAAGATGTCACCGCCACCATCTGGGAAAAAGTCAGTGTCGAAGGTAGCGTCAATCGGCAAGTTTTCCGGCGAGTGTGTAGGAGAGGTGGTTATTGTCAAATCCGGCTCGTTGGTGAGCAGTGGGCATTGCGGATGTGGCGGCTCCTGTTCTGCCATAGATATAGTATGCTCGGACGAAGTCAAAGGGGCTATATGTACGTTCTGCTGGGAAGGGTCATCTTGACAAGAGGCATTGCTTGCTAGCACATTACTGCAGTCGTTCGTATTCCGGTGATGAGACCTAGAATGGCGTAGAAGGGTGTCCCTAGATCGATCAGGCTTGGTTGGGACTGCAGGTGGTGTTTTCCACATACTGTCTCGCGAAGAACTTGCCGCAATTCACGCAAATAAATGGTCTCTCCTTGGTGTGTGTCCGAAAATGGCGAGCCAGGTGCTCTGCCTTTTTAAACGACTGGGAGCAAATGGGACAGATGCGCTCCTCCTGTGCTGTCTTGCGCCGCCGACGCCTCTCGCGGTTCAAGCCAGTCGCCATACTGAATGATGCAGGGAGTGCCAAGGGGGAAAGCAAAGAAGAATGTTGCCGGGTTGGGGTCGCCCACGGGGTTCCCCGCACTTGACTAGATGACCTAAATAGTGCCTTACAAGCTCCATTACTAGTCTCGTGGAGTCGTGGTACGAATCCTTCGACGATCTGCAACCTACTACCATGGCTTCCTCCATTCGATAAGCTCATACGCCTATCAGACTTTCTAAGCTCAGATCAGTCTTACCTATTCACCTCTCTACTATAGACCAAAGCTCTTTGAAGCCAATCTCTACAGTGCGTCACTTCCACTACGTAGGCGAAAATTCAAGGTTCAGCAGCGGTATGCATACTAAGGCAAGAGGCTGGCAGACACAACGGCGCGCATGATATCGGTATGTCTCCTTTCTTTTGTGAGATATGTACTCTGTATGCTCTTCGCCTCGTGCCTTTCTATCCTTCATCGTTTATTTCTCACATTCTAGATCCACCAGGACTGGTTCCTCGGAACTCAGGACCGAACTAGTAGTCTTGACTCCATAATTAGGTAAATAGACACGGATTTAGTTCAATAATTCCAACTTTTCCGTACCTATTATTACTAATACTTCATCAATAGGCTCCTCGGCTGAGGCTGGCCTTGCCTCTCCTGTTGTTGCCCAGCTCAGTCCGGAAATGGTTAAGGTTGATCGGCCTCGAGTTTACTAAATCCGTTTATTCCGCGCTTCGTAATTCCGGCGGATCATTTAGGTTCGTCTATCATTATGGGGCTCAATGACATGATATTGACATGTTGATGCATTCTGCGATCTATAAATCAAGACCCTCGCCACTGGAGCTGGAATACATCTTACCACGCATTCATTCATTCATTCCTCAGAGGACACGAGAACAGTACGATGATCGTTCCTTCCATCTCTTCCCTGGCTCTAACAGTGGCCACTGCTGCTGGTGCAGTTGCAGCCGCAGCAGAAGCGAACTCTACCTCTAAGCTCTTGACCGGCGGCACTGTCATTGCCTATGATGCCACTGGTCAGAGTCTTCAGGTGGTTCGAAACGGCTCAGTTCTGATCGTGGACGACACGATTGAGGCAGTCTACTCCGGCAACTATGACGGTCAGCTGCCTTCGCATGTTGAAGTTGTCGACACAACTGGTGACATTATCACTCCCGGCTTCATCGACACCCACCGGCATAGTTGGCAAACTGCGTTCAAGACCTTGGGCTCCAACACCACTTTGGCGGAATACTTTGACCGCTACAGTGAGTATTCCGTCAACGGCGAGTATACCCCTGAGGACGTGTACATCAGCCAGTTGGCGGGTCTTTACGAAGCTATGAACGCGGGTGTCACCACCATCCTCGATCATGCCCACCACACCTGGTCCAATGAAACAACCGACGCCGGTCTGCAGGCCTCCATTGATAGTGGCGTCCGCATGGCCTGGTGCTTTACCTTCCACAACGTGACCAACTTCACCTTCGCCGAGCAGGTGGCCAAGTTCGAGGAGGTGGCTAGAAGTGGCCGCCTGGACGGAACTGCCACGACCTTGGGAATTGCCTATGACGGCTTCAATCCGGGCAGTCCTTCTGAGACAGAGGAGATCATTTCTCTTGCCCAGAAATACAACGTCTCGGCCATCACAACCCACTCCCTCCAGGGTATTTGGGGAGGTATGCATCCAGCTGACCCCTGCTCCATAGCTCGAACACTAGCTAACTAAACCTCTCCACACAGCTATTAACTCCCCCGAAGACCTCCAAGCCCTCGGCATCCTCAACACCTCCATTCCCGTGGTCTTCTCGCACGGCAGCTTCCTCACCGGCGAGGGCGCTTCCCTTCTCCGCAGCACCAACCAGTACCTATCCATTACCCCCGAGTCTGAAATGCACTACGGGCACGACCACCCCTACAACCACCTAGTGCAGGACCAAGCTGCTTTGGGCGTCGACACCCACTTTACCTACTCCTCCGACATCCTCACGCAAGCCCGGATCTGGCTGCAGAGCGCCCGCGTCACCTTCTACCGCTGGGTCCTCAACAACTGGAACATCCCCGCTAATAACCCTATGTCGGTCAACCAGGCGTTCCTGCTCGCGACGCAGAGGGGAGGACTGGCGCTGCGCCGGCCGGATCTAGGTGTTATTGCACAGGGCGCCAAAGCCGATGTTCTTGTTTGGAATGGAAACTCGCCCGGTATGCTGGGGTGGGATGATCCTGTGGCTGCGGTTGTGCTGCATGCGAACGCCGGTGACATCAAGCATGTGCTTGTGGGCGGGTCATTCCAGAAGCGAGATGGGGCGATTGTTGCCAGTGGCTATCCAGCTCTTCGGGAACGGTTCCTAACCACGGCTAAGAAGATCCAGGCGATTTGGAAGAAGAAGGCGCTGCCGGTGTTGGAGGGGGAATTCCCTGAGTCTGGGTATGAGTATGGTCGTGTGCCGCTGGCGGATGTTCAGCGTGGTGAGGGAACTGGCTATGGCGAGCAGTATCTTTGAAGAGACTACAGAGGGATTGTGTTTCCTTTCTTCAATTCCTGCTTAATTGGAGGCAGGCAGGTGGGGTGTTTTGCTAGAGGGTTGGCGTTGTGAACTCTACTAGATGGTGGAGAATGGTTGGCGGCAAGTTGGGAGGCTCTGTACAACATTGATCATCATGTATTTTAGACTAGACATAGAATAGACATAGACTAGACATAGAATAGACATAGACTAGACTTAGATTGGACATAGACTAGACATAGAATAGACTTAGAATAGAAAGTATCATTACTGGGGCAGAAGTCAATTACCCGAGTAGATCCACACATGGAGGTGAGAGAGTGGCTGGTGGCAAGGCATAAGTCCGAAACACCCGGATTTGTCTAATTCCGAAAGACAGTACCGGATTTAGCTCAACCAATCCTTCAACGAATTCTTCTATTTCATTCAGCCAGCACAAAGCAGTGATTACTGTTAATCATTCTTACTTTAAGTTAGTTACATGGGAATCCTCATCATTTCCTCCTTAGTCCAGTACCGCCGCATATTCTCCGCCCCCAGTGTCTTTACCTCCTGGTCAAGGTGAGTCCATAGCACCTCTCTCCACCCTTCCAATTTGCCCCTGAGCACCCGCAGATCTAGATCTTCTTCCCCCTGCGAACACCTAGCAAGATATTCCCGGAGTTCTTCTAGGCCATGATGAATCTCTCTATGCTGCCGCAGAAGCTCGGCGGAGTGCCGCCCGCGCCCCGTGCGGAATTCCGGCATCTTCTTCGCCAGGTAGGGGAAGATGTAGGTTTCCTCAATGCCATGATGAGTCTCGAGGTGGTCGGCAAATTGCAGGCCCTCAGCAATAAATTGCCGGACAGTCATATTGGACGGCCGTTGGCCGCTGGTAGCAGCATCCCAGAGGATATTCCAGGATCGGCGGAGGAAGCCGTGCTGCAATGAGATTGGAAATCTGATGAGTAAGCTCATAAACATGGGTTGGGTGAGAGAGAGCCTTACAAAGTAGTCCATCTTTTCTGCACCTCGGTTGTATATTCTGAAATCCTGCACCGATAGTGCCGGGAGCTCTTCTGCGGTGTTGTTCATGGCGATGGTGCTGGTAAAGAGGTGGCCTATGGAACAGCCCCGGAACTGTCTGGCGCGACTGCGAGACGACTGTTGGGACATGCAATGGAAGTAGGTTGAAACTGACCTTTGACGCAGCAGTGCGCCTGCTGCCACAGTAAATATATACGACATGATTGTACCGGTGGCTCTACAACACAGTAAGGGCCGAGCTTGTAGATGATACCCGGGTGCATAGACCTTTTCTCGCCACAGCTTGTCAAGTCCGAAACCCGTGTAAATCCGAATTCCGGCAAGAAGGAAATTTGATTACTAGAGCAAAAGCGATGTGAGACCTGGGCTTGGCCACGCGCATACCAGCGACTTTATAAAAGGGTGCTTCTTACATCTCGTCATCTCTCAGATTCTACTGCAACAAGATCATTGTATTTTGTCATAGATCAGTTCGTCGCAATGGCTCCCAGGATTGCTATCGTCTTTGTACGTTGGACGGTAACTGCCGGATAGCTCATCTTGACCATTTGCTAATTACTCCTGATCAGTACTCCATGTACGGCCATATTGAGCGGCTGGCTCAGGCTGAGTTGAAGGGTATCCAAGCTGCAGGTGGCAATGCAGACCTCTACCAGTGAGCCACCCTCACCCTGCAATTAACAATCAGCGCATTAATCGCATCCTATCAGAATCGAGGAGACCCTTCCCGCCGAGGTGCTACAACTGATGCACGCCCCTCCAAAGTCTTCCGTTCCTGTCATTCAGCCAGAGCAGCTGCTCGAGTACGACGCCGTCCTCTTCGGTATCCCCACTCGCTTCGGTAACTTCCCCGCGCAGTGGAAGGCCTTCTGGGACCGGACCGGTAAGATCTGGGCCACCGGCGGCTACTGGGGAAAGTATGCTGGTCTCTTTGTCTCTACCGGCACAATGGGTGGTGGCCAGGAGTCTACTGCGCTAGCGGCGATGAGCACGCTCGCGCACCATGGCTTCATCTACGTGCCGCTTGGTTATAAGACTGCATTTCCGCTTCTCACGAACATGACTGAGATCCATGGTGGGAGCGCATGGGGCGCAGGAACCTTTGCTGTTGGTACCCCCTTTTTATCTCTTTCCTTCTTCGTCTTCGGAACATTAGAGGGCAAGCTAATATAGATTACTTGACAGGGAGGAGATGGCTCCCGCCAGCCCAGCGAGCTCGAGCTTTCCATTGCCGAGGCGCAGGGCAACGCGTTCTATAGCCACGTTTCTCGGCTGAACTCTGCTTGACTACATGATAGCTCTGGGGGGGATGCAATGAGTCGGGAGCTCGGTAGGCAGGACGTGAAAGCGCGCGAAGCTCAGGGGCCAAGGCTAGATCCGGAGAGGGAGTCGGAGGAAGTCGAGGGAGGTCTCTGTGGGCTGCCCAGCAAATGTAACATACTTTGATTCCCCAATTGGCTTCTCAAGTCGAACCTTAATGAGCTGAGAAATGCTTCTAGCGAGCAGTATATTATAGTTAGACACTACATATTAGTACGGATTAATAAACATTTTTTGATTGGAGGCAGAGTAAAACTAGTAACTAGTAGTAATCGGTAATTACAGCTCCGCTTCAGTGGGGAAATATTTCAATCAAAAATAGAATCAAGTTAGATTGGATGAAGAAAACGAAAAAAGAAAAAGAAAAGAAAAAAAAGCAAAAAGAAAAAAAAGCAAAAAAAAGGAAGAAAAATATATACACTTATATAAGGTTGGGGAAAAGAAAAGCCCTCACCGCCTGCTGTTTCCAATATGAATAACGACGTCAACCCCTCCTGAATCAGTCACGTGCTGTTGAATGTCTTCGAACTTTGTTACAGTGAAAGTCCGTAACCACAGCTTCTGATTCCATAGTTACTTTTGATCATCCAGCAGCGCCATGCTGAGGAAAAAGATCTCCAAGGCATGCCAGGAATGTCGAGCTCGGAAGGTTCGGTGTGATGGATTGAACCCATGCTCTCCATGTCAGCAGCGCAATACGGCTTGTGTCTTTCGGGAGCGAGCTCGAGTGCGTCGAGGGGCCACTGACTCCCCCTCAGACGAGAAACTGGAGCAGCATCCGGGTGATCAACCGGCCGTAGTGGAGCTTCACAGCATTGAGAGGCAGCGGCATCAGCCGTCCGACGTTTACAAGGATGTCCACAAAAGTGTGTCTGCGCGACAACGCTCTCCGTCTGGCTCTGTAGAATTGTACTATGGGCCGACCTCCGACTTCTCGCTGCTGCAGCACCTTTACCACACCCTCTACCTCAGTTCGGCCAGTGACCATAACCGGAACCAACAGGAAGAGGTTGGTCAAGGGCTGGACTTTTTCCGCGTCCGCCATATCTTCTTCGGGCAGAGTTCCATGCGGTCCGCAGCTGACGTGTCTGTACCAGCCAACAGACCTCTGCCCCCGCCACATATTGCGCACACTCTGCTGAACCAATTCCTAGCAACGCATTACAACATAGTACCGTTCTATCCAAAAACCAGATATGATCAACTGCTAAAGACCCTGTATGCTACCGATCATGGAACTACCCAATTCAGCGAGGTGCAGCAACATATCTGCATCATGGCTATGGCTACCGCTGCAGCAAACACGGAGCATTTCCAGCTCGGCGTGAAACTGGCCGAATACGTGGAAGGCCAGCGCTCGAAGATGCAGTACGTCGTTAGCTTGGAATGTATCCAGCTGGGGATTCTGATGATAAGTCTCTGACTAAAGCATGTATGGCTGTTGCTGACTGAAAGGAAGTCTCCACGCCATGTTCAATCTGGAGTATGCCCAGTCCAATATCGCATACATGATCATCGGTGACACCTCTCGCAAGGCCTTTGCTGCTGGGCTACACCGACAACAAACTCATCTCAACGAAGACGATAGCCTTGAGACCATGGAACGACAGCATACATTCTCGTCCCTGTATTTCATGGAAATGTGACATCTGTGTCCTAACCCCGTGGTGGGAAGTGCTGACAGTTCGCAGATGGATCAGCTTTTACCTGGGCCGACCCAGCATGCTGGAATACTTCAATACCAGCCAAGTCCCCCGCCCGCAAGACATCTTTCTTTCCGCCCTGCTCCAGTTCGCCACGGTGATGATGAAAATTGTGCATCAGGTCTATCGCCCGCAAGCCGCTCCTTCTGTCCTGTGGAACTGCGCCATGGCAGTCGGCAAAGAAATGGATGCCCTCCGCGCTAGGGCTCGGACCGACTTTGGCCTCGAGTTGGATGCTCCCCGTTCTAGTGATCCGCGCGGCATGAGACCCGTCGTCCTCATCACATGTTTGTGTCGACTTGTTTCTCACGCTTCTTACGGCTGACCAACATGTTAGTGTACAACTTCATGTCCTTCCTCCTCTTCCGCCCCTTCGTTATCATCCGCGGCAAAGTGCAAACCGAGATCTCCAAGCAGCCAGACCATCAACCTCCCCCCGAACTTCCGTCATGGCTCAACAACGCCTGCATTAACTGCCTGAACGCCGCCAGAACAATCGTCAGCTACATCTGCAATATTGCCGCCGACGACCCTCTCCTCCGGGTAACCGCTCATACTCTCACCTTTCTATCTGCCATTCTAACGATGACCACCCACCTAGGAACTCCGCTTCAACTGCTTCTATCTCGAAAACTGTCTCTTCCTCCTCCTCTACGATATGGCCTCTAACCCGGAAAACCGCGTTGCCAACTCCCCGCTTGTCCACCAGGGCCTCCAGTTCTTGACCCGCATGCGACAGGGAGACCCCGTCTGCAGCTCCATCGCTACCATCCGTCGCATCCTGCAACATATGAACCTCGACGTCGGCGCCGAAGAGCTGACCCTGCCTCACGCGGCTCATTCCCCTCACGACCCAGTGTCCAATGTCTCGCAGCCACCACCGCAACTGGAGGAGCTGATCGGCCCCATCCCTGTGTATCCCCAGGGTAGCGCATGGGCGGAGCAGCCGCAGCAGGCATTGGATCCCCGGTTAGGCGCCAGCGATGATTTCCAGTTCGACCTGGACCTGTCTGCGGCGGATTTTAATGTGGATATCACGGCAATCGACTGGGACACGTTCTTCTCGTATGTGCCTAGTTGAGGCTTCATCTCGCACCCCATACATCTATACCCATAGGGCGAACATAGCAAAGGCAAATACTCACCCTTTTGCCCTGTCCTCAAGTGTAATATAATGATTGTCCCACTGTTTCAATAGAAATACAATCTAGATATGTTTTTATTTTGACTAATAATCTGTATCTTTGTTTATATATTTTAGAAATTGAAATAAAATAAGCAATAAGATACAAATGAAAATATGTAATACTGATAAAATGTTGGAACAGATTTCTGCCAAGTAGAGCAAAACGATATATCAATGGCCACCAAGCAGCAGGAGTGACTAAAATATCTCAATATAAAAATAATAATAAGTAAACATATTCTCGATTTTTCGGACGCGTTGGAACTGGTACTTCCACCCTTGGAGGGCAGGAGGTAATGAAATCCACCACCACAAACCCGTAAACAGTACTAATGTGAGCGGAGACTCAGAAGCTGACCTACGCTTAATGCCACTGTGTTAGGGTAACAGGCATCACCACCCAGTTGCGGTGGCTTTGCTGATGAACGGCTCCTTCGCCACGAGCATTGCGTGCGCCATCGACGCGGTCGTCAGTGCTCCACACGCCCGCTTTTCTCTAGTGAATTCCTCCAGTGCCCAATTGAACTGAGGGAAATTTCATAATATCAATTCTTTTCCCCTGCCCGTCTGTGGTAAATTTCCCGTATAAGTGCCTCGGATACGATCAACCAATAACAACATATTTGGTCAGCTTTGACTTGAATACTCTATAGAAGAAAAAGAAGTGTATCGGCCTATCAAGGGCCTGAACTCCTGATCATTACATTTCCCGCGCAGTGCGCATATTTTATCCTATAATAGTTTACAGACAATGGGATCATACTACCTCGACTTCACGTACATTCTCCGATGTCCTTAGTATCAATAGAGAACCTGAGTAGGCCATCACCCTTCAGATATCGAACTCTGGAATCGGTACATAACCCGGCGGCGGCCCCGTCATCGCATTGAAAACATCCTCCGGAATCCCATTCTTATTCACGTAATCCAGCATAGTCTCAAAATCTCGACACGTATGCTGCGTACTAAACTCAGGCGATGGCCATGGTGTCCCTTCAACCCAAGCAAACAAGATCGGATCCGTATTACCAGTGCACTTGATGCTCTCTGCCAGAACCTCCAGACAGTGCGACGCATGCGAATGGTGGTCCAAGTGAGATTCACCATGTAGCCCCGATGCATAGTAGTCACTGTAGACCTGCTGTCGTAGGATATCGACACAATGAAGAAGGTGGAACACTTCGGTCCACGCGATGTATGCGTCTGAGCCGTATCCGAGTTCCTCTGGGATCTTAACAGCCCTGGCTGGGTCTTTTCCCATCTTGCGGACTTCGGCGGATGATATAACAATCGGACGGAGTTTTGTGTTGCCGCCGATTCGATTCCACTCGGCGTCGGCTTCGGGGCCAGTGGGGACACGCAGAATAGGGAGGGGTTCATGGTCGTAGAATGTGCTATTTGAAGTAATCATTTTTTTGGGGATATCAAGGCGTTCTAGGATTGGTGCTATTGGTTGAATTAGTTAGCATGGCTTTTATGGACTCACACTGTATCGCGACCAAGGAGTATGTAATAACAACTTACAGTAAGCCGACGTAGCCTTCCATTTATCTTGATCGCTGAGTCGGCGTAGCGCCATGTTCTTCGACAATGGAGAAAACCAGAAGAAGAGACCTGATATGAACAATATGGCGTTTACAATCGTCCACCGCATCCGGTGAATTGTCGAGGGGATATGTGATGTTCTGCCGTAACTGTATCTTGCTGATGCTGCGGAGGAGAACGACGAGCGAGTATTCTTCGTATCCAGATCCTCCTCGGAGAGCGGAAGATCCATATAACGTTTTCGATCAGGGTATACCATATTGGGGGTTCGGGTTGTAGAAAAATAAAATCCGGGTTGCCCTTTCTTGAAGGATTGAAACGGGACCTTTGGTCGTTTATGTTTCGGAGCTCACTAGGGTTACCTCCCTGCTACATTTATAGAAATCAGTTTGCAAATCGTAAGTGGGCCCGACACTGCCTTGTTTGTCGCCAATATTATCCTATCATTCTGATACTAAGTACTTCATAGACAAACGAGTTGAATATTGCGAAGATGTGAAGGTGAAGGGTCAGGCTCGAATTTATATCCAATTTCAGCGCTGCATCCACTCAGCTAAATGCGTATAGATACATCGAACCTTTTCCAGAGGAAATTATCTATTACATCACAGACTTTCCCAGTGTAATTTGTTTCCAATGGAACAGACTACTCTGGTGACAACATACACTTTTCTGACCAGCCATCTATAACAGGATCGGCCAAGTTGTTCAATCTAGATGTCATGTAATGGTTGAAACACATAAAGTAGGTAGGGCCAGATTCGTTTGCGGCTGGTTTAATCGATGTATCTAGCAACAATTTAAGCCATCTAATGATATCATGGACTTATTACCTTTGTACAGGTAATCTTCAATTGAATCCATAGTCACTCCAGTTCTTGGTGCTAAGATTGACTTCTATTGTAAGCAAACAATAACCGCAACCGGTAGTGTTATATCATTGATATTTAAAACGATGTCTTTACTACGTGTTTAGAGCCTAGTATTACTAAGTGCGATTTCTGTTATTATCTAATTCTAGGTATGTCCATGGTTAGGGCGAGCCTATTAACGTTGTGTTACGGGACTTGATGGAAATGGTACATGTATATTCTAGCGACTTATTAAAATTGAGCTTGGTATGGGCGAGTAAGTTGCCCGCGTGAAGCAACCTCTCTAGGACTATGGGTTATACATGCAAAGGAGAGAAAAGCGCGACGAGTAATTCGCACGGGTAAGGGCACATTGGGATTATACTCAAGTGTGCACGAAATGATACAGCAAATTGTCTGCAACTGAGCTGGAACTAATATAAATGTGTAAAAACTTTGGATTGTCTCTGCATTTGCACAAAGATATGGGGAAAACCATACAGGGACACAAAGCCCTATCGAGACAACTTTACGTAAACCATAGAAACAAAGGAATTCTCAGATTTCACTCAGGAAACGGCATAGTACTATTGATGCTTCAGCAGTCTTCCTCAAAACACACCGACGCTGCCTTCACCCCTGGTGTTGTACGGGGTTTTGGCTCCATATTCCTATGACGTTTGCAATAGTTAGACCAGGATACAGTCAAGGCTATCATAGACTGTACAAAGAATAATGTTGGGATACGAATTCCACATACTGGGAGGGTTCCATGATAAATTAATAGAGGACTTAACAATTATTGGAAAACCAAGATGACTTTTGGTTCATGTAGACACTACAACAGCTATCCGGCCGAAGGAACTTATTCATATCTTAATTGTGAATCACTATATCCTCAAAAGTAGAGTAGATTTGTAATAAACTGTTATAAGTGGCCTACAGAATGGAGTGGCTTTCAGCGTACGTAGTAGGTTCCTAAACATTCAATACGTCACCACTTTCTATGACATATTTGTTTAGTTCTGCTTACCGTGACTGGGATGTAACGTCTCTTTCTAAATGTTAGGCTAACTGACTTAAAATTGCAGGAGGGATAGAAGAGCAAAATTAACAAGTTCTTGCCCAGCAAGAAGAATGATAAATAACTTAACGGCAGGTAAGTTATAAACCCTCCCTTCAAATGTTAAAGGCCCCGCGTATATTATAGGACGTATATGGGGGGCCGGCGCGGTGGGTGATTACGTGGGTTACCATGGTGTAACCTCCCTCTTCCCAAATATGCTTAACATACCCTGGGGGGCGGGGCCCGGCATTCCGGCCTTGCAGTTGTTGATTTCCCATTCCTTCTTCTACCTTCCCCCGCACCATCCACGCGTCAGGATAGTATGCGCGTCTTCATCTATTTATCACTTAGGATCGTGTTCTTTCAGCGATATCTCTGCGACAATTAATTACCCTGTGAGCTAGCCCCCTGGACACAATAACTAATTTAGTATGGCTCGGAAACGGCCACATCCTCCTTCTTCTCCCTCATGTGCTGGCGCTGCGTCGTCAGAAATGGCCGTGATGTACCCCTTCCCATAGCTCATATACGGACTGGGACTGTTTATCGTCTTTCATTGAGGGCGAATGGCTACCCCGTCCTGTCAACGTTTTATCTTGCAAGAACAGACTGGGATCCTATAACAAAGTTAGCATGACCAGTATGAAAACGTTGAAAAGCCGTGGATCCGAGAGTGATTTCATACCGAGTTAAAGATTTTTTTTGCATCCTGCGATATTTTTGGGTGGTCGGAGGTCGCCATGAGCGGGTTTTTATGTTTGTGTTGGGCAGGGATATGGAATTGGGGAGAATGAGATGGTAATGTGGTTACCTGGTAAATGGTGGGTTTGCGAGGGGTGGTGGTGGTGTAGATGCTCACAGCTTAACAATGAACCAGTGAACTTAAGTTTGTTGCTGCCTCACTGGATGACACTTCGCGCTTATGATGATTAGCAAGCGCCCGCTCTCCAACACAATAAGACAGCAATTATCTGCGACATCTCCCGGTCAAGCCAAGCAAGAATGCGACACAATACAGGCAATCAAATCACCAAAACAACAAATTATGGAGCCGACAAGCGTTCGTCAAAAGCCAACTAGCTTAGCGGCGTCTCTTCTTATGCTGACTGCGTGAAGTGACTCGTTGCTTATGTCCCTTGTCCCGCTGTTGGACCTTGAGTCGCTGGAGCTTTTTCTCCAAGGAACGTATTTCCGCATCTGGGGTTCTCGTCGATGGTTCGGATTCTTTTCTCCTATGACGTCTTTGTGGACGATCGAGGCTTGATATAGACGAGTCAGAATCCGTATCGCTGTCTGTTCGCTCCATGTCAACCGGCCGAGTACCGCGTCTGTACCTGCCGGAAGGATTTTTCCGCTGGGAAGTACGAATTCGGCGCCTCGGAGCATCATCTGATGAGCTATCATCGGTCTTGTCGGAACTGCTCTGGTCCCAGTATTACTCGACATCATGCCCCCAAAAAGCATTTTCTAGCTCTTTAGCTTTCAGGTAGATCATCCGATCTCCGTTAAAACTGTTGCCGTTGGCAATGCGCCGAATAAAACCACGACGTTCTAATGTGACATTACCATCGTTCCATTTCACCAAGGCCCTGGTGGAGAACGCCTTCGCCTCTCTCCTTCCCCTAGACCCCAACTGTGTGGAATTTCGGGTCCGTGGCTTATGTCCAGTAATATGGTCCCAGATCCTGTATAACAGGCAATACAGGCAGTTAAACTAATAAAAAAGAAATTCATGGATCAACTGTTATCAACTGTTGAAAGATGACCACAGACACCACAGAGAACATCGCCTTATTAGTTACATCCCTTCCTTGCCCCGCCTGAATTAAATTGCTTAGGGTTGCCCGTCGTCGTGGCCGCTGCTAACCGCGGTGAGTCTTCAGGCCTAAGTGCCATGGGGTACGCCTTGGCCCAGAATGTGCGCAAGAGCATGCCGTCAACAGGGCGGCTGTACATCTTTGATGTCTTTCGCAGCTCATGTGAGCGGTTCCAGACCGAGATGGAGGGGACCAGAGCGGTGGTGGTGGTTGACTCTGCTCGAGAAGGCGTGGAGCAGGCGCCGACGGTCATCTCCATCGTTCCCAACGCCGCCGACGTTTGACAGCTTTACCTCGACGAGTAAACCGGGGTGATTATAATGATTGCTTTGCGGGGTATAGTGCGGGGGACCGACGTTCGGAGATCCACCACATCACATCCCTGCAACAACCCCCACACCATAAGTTCTGCAGAGCCTCGTATGAACTGACGACTGGATACCTGAGCCACCATCTCACTATATTCCATCTTCTCTTTTAATTCCTTGGTGGATAATTCTACACATATCACAACAACGAAAACAACCACACCGCAGGAGCAGTATGTCCGACTTCGACCGGGAGCTTCCCGAGACAGCCGCTTTCGTTGACGTGAAGCTCTTAAACGGCGGCAGTATGACAGCACATTATCACAAACTCCATGCCGGTGAGCCAGCTGTGGAGTTCAGAATGTATAACTGGGCCTTCTACATTTACCATCCGGGCCAGCAGAGACATATCATCTGGGACCTCGGGTTCTCGTCGGTGCGTCACCCGGAATATGGGGTGGGTATGAGGACTGTTTACTCACCAATAGAGGCACATCCAGGACCCTGATGACTATCCGCCCGCAGTCGCAGAAGGCCCCTTCGTCGAGGCCCAGTTCCAGGCGCCCAGCAAGTCAATCTCAGATCAGATTCAACATCGTAGCGGAGTGTCACCGGATCAGATTGATACCATCATTTTCAGGTGCGGAGGGACTTCCATTGCGAGGCATCGGCAGCAGCCCTGGACTAACTGACCCATCTTCTCACAGTCACGCTCACTTCGATCACTGCCGTCCCATCAGCCGCACGTTCCGCAACGCAGTCGCCTGGTTCGGACCGGGGACGCGCGAGTTCTGCACGCCGGGACACTTGGCCGACCCGACCTCCTTCTGGGACGGCCGATTTTTCGACCCGGAGGACCGCGCGACCGAGAGGTGGCAAACCTTTCTGGGCCCTTGGATGCCCTTCGGACCTTTTCCCCATGCATTGGACTTCCTAGGCGATGGTAGCCTATGGATCATCCAGGCCCCGGGCCACATGCCTGGGAACCTGTGCGCATGCGCCCGGCTGGCGTCTGGAGACTGGATCCTGCTGGGGTCAGATTGCTGTCACTCACGGTATGACCCCTTTTCTTGCATTCTACCAACAGCGAAGATGCGAGTGCATGGGGGGAAGAGGAGGTGCACGAGAGAAAAGACGAAAAAATGAAAAATTGTGCTCACTGTTACGTTTGGAACTCTATCTAGGGCTCTCCTGGACGGGGTCAAAGACTTCGCCCGCTTCCCGCTCCCCGGAGGCACCCATTTCTGCTTGCACACCGACCTCGACGCGGCGCGGGACACGGTAGCCCGTGTGCGGTATCTGGAGACGCACCGAGGGGTGCATGTTGCGCTGGCGCACGACACCTCCTTTATCGAGGATAAGCAGGATACGGTGCTATTGTCATTGCTTGACGAGGAGGGTCTGGACGGGTGGGGTGCTGTCATTCGCGAGCAGAGGCCTATCTAGTCCCCATTGGTCTTATTTATGTCTTCTTCTTGAAATCGATGATTTCATCCTGAAATGATTCTCACTGGTCCAGATATTAGAGAACCCCAGTGAGGTTAGCGCGGATGATCCTTCCCAACAGCACAGTTGCTCAGATCTATACCATAGGGTAATATGGAGTCTCAAAGGTGCGATATAATAGACCATCAGTAACGCGTTGAATCTACACAGATCTTGGTATTATCAGTCAGCAACACGATAGTAGTTATATCAGGAGGAGAGAGCCACGAGAAATCGTAAGGAATCCCTTCTGCTTCGCCAACAAATCTCGCCTCCGCATTGGAACAAGCCCTGGCGGAAACGTTGAGTCGCTCTTCATCAGTAAACCTATGTTTTATTATCACTGTGTGATTGACATTGACTAGCACGGCAGCACAAGTCCTTCTTGCTCCCTTCCCTTCTTCTCGTCTCCCAAATTCTGCAGGAAGCCACGCAACGCATCCAGACACTCCTAAGCAGCAAGCCAATAGATCTCATGAAGCCCCGCACGTATGGAGAGATCCTTGATGGAAACGCCCCAAATGATGAATTGAAAGGAAGAAGAGTAAACCACTGGGGAAGTGATGTGCAGAGGTGACGAAAGAAGATACAAATAACAGGAATAAGCCCCATATTCTACACCCTTTATGAAAATGCGGAGGGGGGTAATTTATGTCCAGCGTCCCAGGTGAATGGAAACAACCCCACCCCACCACATTATCCTTGGGGAGAAGTTCTTGAAGCTAACATATGAGGCCAGCTGGGGAAACCCCGCACTGCATGGGATACAGCCCTAATTCATATAGGGATGCAAGTACCTCTATGCTGGTGAATTTCTAGTTGCGATACCACATTCGACCCAAGAGACTTATAATATCACCCAAGACGAATTTGTACATACACAATATACAGTAAACATTCCACACTCAATTTACCACCATCCCTTGCGCATTCACCTTGACCAAACCCAGCATATAGCCCTCCTCCTTAGCATGCTGCCACTCCCTGCGGATCAACCCCACCACCTTTTCACTCCGCGGGACGAATCGCAACTCACTGGGCTTGGGAAGAGTGTTCATCCCCTCCTCGTACGCGGCGTCGGACACATCAACAGATCCGATCTTCCCGTCGTCGGTAAGCGGGGGGAGGATCTCAAAGGCCCATACCAGGCACGCTATGGTGATGAACAGGCTGTTCTCGGCCAAGTGCATGCCGGGGCAGATGCGGCGGCCTGCGCCAAAGTCGAGATGATCGCGGGCGTACGGGTCGGCGTGAGCAGCGTATGCCCCCGCCTTGAGGGGGTGCTGGAGATACCGGTCCGGCACAAAGTCGTCTGGGTTCTCGTAGCGCGCCGGATCGAAGTGTAGCGCGTAATGATTGATAGCAACGGTGGTGTTGGCGGGGATAAACCAATCTTTATACACAACGTCCACCGAGGTTAGTGGGGAGAGCCCAGGCTGTGAGTAGAGGGGACGAGTCAGTATGCGATAAACATCAGGGTGCTTGGGGTGATATACGTGGTGACCGGGCGGATTCGCAGAATTTCCTTCACACAAGCACGGATGTAGGGCAGCTCCGCCTCATCGCGAAAGCTAGGGAGGCGGTCCTCACCCACCACACGGCGGAGTTCCGCGAAGGCTTTCGCCTGGGCTTCCGGGTAAGCCGCCAAGTACTTGATACAGGAGTTGAGCGCGGAGGAGGTCGTCTCGGAACCTGCCTCAATCATTGCTGCAGAGAAACATCATTAGTCCACCCGTCGGCAAGGGGCCGAGAAATGCATGATTAGAACATACTTCCGGCAACAAAGCTGGCTTGCAGCTCGCTGATACCCATTTTTTATAGTCAGTGTTGATGAACTGCTTCACAAAACAATCCGGGGCTTGGTTCTTCTCCATCTGCGTCCGGAGACGGTTCCAGTATTTCATCCAGATGACCGCCTGTCGGTTGAAGGACCGGAGGGCGGCCTTTCTCCACCACTGCATCCACTGGGGGAGGTATGCCAGCACCTGGAAGGTCTCGGCTAGGTATTGTCCGGGCGTGGCAAATTCGCTGAACTCCTGCATCAACCCGTAAATCTCGCGGATGTCTTCGCATTCCTAAAGGAATGGTGCAGGAGTTAGCGCTGACCTCGACCGGAGGGAGTGAATAAAACAAAACACTTACCCATACTGGGACGCGGCGTCCGTAGGTCGATATCATCACCACTGGTTTCGAGAAAATTAGCACCGGACGACCGGGGGTTTTGACGGCGCAACAGGGACTGCCCACGTACCCGAGGTCGTATACCGTCGAATATGCATGTAGAAATTTTTCTGATTGTCGTTGTCTGTCAGAATATCCCACAGCAGCTGCTTGGCCTCAAACTCCTGCGACGGAATGAATTCGTTGGATGCTTTCGGGGTCAGAAGTTTGTGCACGATGGCACGAAGCCGCCGCCACTCTGCCGAGTAGGGCATAAGAAGGAACCTGAAGACTTGCGTAAATCCTAGTTAGTGGACTGCATGGCGTTTCTTGGACAAGATGCGTCTTTCTCCCCTTACTCACCTCATCCCGCCGGAGAGCAAATCAGATACCACGGGGCTCGGTGCGCGTGAGGAAGTGTGCTGGGACTGCTTGTCGAAAATCTCATTCACCGCCGATGGACTATTTGCATAGATCCAAACCTGGCGCCCGAAGCGCACCTGGAACAGTTCGCCGTACTCGACGGCCCATTTGCGGAGTTGTTGTTGGGGATATGCCCCCATGGCAGTGACATTCCCAGCAACAGGCACCTCCCGGAGCCCTTGGGGCAGTTTCCGTGCCTTTCCGACTCGCAGGACCAAGAACACTGTAGTGACAGCGAGAATCGCGACAGTAATAAGAGCCATTGGTGCCAGACGAGGGAATCGGACAGTTAATTGAGTGGTGTACAGGAGTGGCTTTTTGACGGCTGTGCGGCAACCAGAACTTGTCAACCTGGCGGGGTAGGGCTATTTGAAATGCAGTGGAGGAGTGAGGCAGACGGAGGGAGGCTGGGGAAACCCAAGCTTTCTCACCCCACATGAATAGTCCACTCTTTTACCGCACCCGGGTGTTACTCGAAACACTACACTGACACTCACATCTTCCAAATCCACCGAGGTCGAATGCCCTTCAAACGCGCGGAAAAGATAATTGGGGCCCCATCGTCTCGATACAACCGCGAAGCCCGCCGCTGTTCACGTGAACATGGAGACCGGGAGAGCACCCAGCTGCCTGCCACCCCCCCGGAGGGACCAGATCTACGTCGTCGTTCACCCCATTGACAGCGGTCAGATCACTCTGCGGGAATGTTACTTTCTCTCCCCCAGTGATCCCATCGCGCAAGAGGGGACCGAGTTAGAGGTCGCATGGCGCACGACGTCCAGTGGTGGAAGAACCTGCGATATACTTGCGGTGTCCCGCCCACTGCGACATACATGCTAAAATACGAATTTGTATCTTGCTTACTTATCTTATAATTAGCAGAATCAATATGAGTACTTTAAAGGCAGAACTCTACTCTGAAAGCCTCTCTAGGTTGCACTAATTGCCTTAAAGGCCCCAATCGGCCTGATTTAGGGTTGCTTGTCCAATGCACCCCATGCGGACCACAAACGTGTGAACTCAATACCCTTGATACCCACCCCAGTGCCGAAATTCACCTTTGGCAGGAATAGCTGCTCATGAGGGGGGTTTCACCGACAAGCCTGCTCTAGAATATAATTGGACAATAAAGCAGCGTAACAACGAGCCATCGCTCTACCTACCCAAACAAGCCACTCTACCTACCAAGATATAACAATCAATTCAAATTGAAGCAATTCAGCACTATATAACTGAAATGTATACACATAAACTAGATGTTGACTTTATCTGGTTATTTAAAATGATTATAGTCTTCTTTATCAATTATATACTCTAATTATATTTGTCGTTCCTCATATATAGTTGTTTACGTTGATTCGTCCTCCTATTAATCAGTTTCATCACTGTCTTCTGTGTTTTGCGACGTCCGGAATCCACTAACCCGGTGCAGAGCAAGCAGCTAACTGCCCAGTTTGTATATGAAGGAACCTTCCAACATGAAGTATGGATTGGAAAATGATTAAGTGATAGGATATAAAGTGCTGCGTCGGTGTACAGCACCCGGCGGAGGCACCTTTTGATTACTGCAACATAATGGTAGCCAGTGTTAAATACTTTTCATTACCTACTTCTATGGTTATAGTTTCGACACCTTCTAAGTCATCATTAATAATCATATTAATTATAACTATTATATTATATTATATTATATTATATTATATTATATTATATTATCATCATCATCATCATCATAATCATAATCATAATAGTACACGCTTTTCTGATTGATCACTATGCCTCACCGCTTGCAATTGCATTTTAACTAGTTAACTAGTGAGTATGACTCTGCTTAGTCACTTTCCTTCCTGCTCGGTGACTCTGCTCTGTGACTCTGCCTGGTGATTCCTCTTTTCTGATAGCTTTACTATACTCTGTTCTTCTCTAGTATATAAACCCCTTCTTTCTCCTGCTTATCTTCCTCTTTTTATCTGCATCATCTTTCTCTGGGACCTCCGTGGCTCTGTCTTATTTATTTTGATAAAAGACTAGGACTTTCGTATCCCTGTCTTATGCTGTGGTTGGTAGTTAGAGATCATGGCCGGGGGGTAATATTAATGATGAATCTACTTTGTTATTTAACCAGTGGTTTCCGAGATATCAGCTCTAGGTCACGACATTGATATTTAGGATGAATATTAAAGAAGAATTTATAATGTTTATTTTAGACACTGGGCTGTATCAGTTATTATCTCAAGAATATGCTTCTTCTGGCTAAGCAGTGATGGTGTATTTATTTTTCTAGTTTATTTCTTAGTTTCTTATTTACTGATGTTTTTCTAGGTATCTGTGATAGACTCAGTCAAGACTGGTCTTGACTCTAGGACCCCGCGACTTTAAAACAGATGGACACGGGAATAGAGACTATTCCTCTACTGTCTCTTTGAGTTCTTCTTGAGCGATAATTCACCTATATGTTCTCCACATTTTCCATTATCACTGTTTACAGGTAATATGGATCTAACTTCACATTAAATATAACATATATCAAAAGTATTTTATCTTCCCTGTAATTTTGGACTCGAGGGCAAGCATGAGGACTCTTATAATATAGAGTCGGTCCGTTCTCTGCCTGTTGTTTATGTTCACCTCCCATATTGACATTTGCACATCTCATGTTACTCCTGTTCACCTTCACTTATTTTTGAATATGTTGATACTTTCTGGTTCCAAGGACTGTTTAGAACTTCAGCTTTACTTAAAATTGACAGTTCCTGATCTCTAATATACTTGATCAACATCCTACGCTGTTGGTGCCTCCTGCTCGTTGGTTCCTTGCCTCCTTCTATCTTTTAAATTCTTGAGTCGAATGAATCAGGCACTTCGGCTGCATCTACTGTATACCGCTCATTTCAATACGTTATCATAGACTGATCCTACAGACTATGGATGAGGTAGAGGAGACCATGCTCCGGATCAAGGTGTGTAGCAAATCATTTCAGTATGCGTTCTATACTAATTAATGGAGGAGAATTCTTAAAGGCTTAACAGACAAGGATACTTGGTTCTCCCAGAAAGTGAACTTAGAGAAGTGAGTGTTCTACTGGCAGGATGAGGATGGATACTCAATATGTCTAGCCTGGCGATGCACTGCTTATATGTGTGAGTATTATCAGGTTCCTATATTTCATTTAGCTTGCCGACCTGCTTCGTAGGCTATACGGTGTTAACGGTATTAAGTCCTGGTCTTTATCTAAAGTTGGAAAGCTGACTGCGAGCACCCAGTCAATGACTAAAGGTACCTCTTAACTGTCGACCAGCTGCTTTGCTTCTACGCGAATGTCCATGGTAATTAATATATTGTGCCCAGACAGTTCCACACCTGCCGCTATGCCCGTTGACACTATGATTGTAAATAGCCAGATGCCCTGTCATATAGATGGATCTTTATGGAGCATGCCTCAGCCCATTGAAACCGAGCCCATTGTTGAGATCCATAAGAATCATGTAATTGTAGGCGATGAACAAGAGAGAAATGTAGGAGCTGGGTTCTTACATGTTGGAGTCTAAGGTTTTATACAAGCGCCCAAAGGCTCACTTCATCCCGGCAGTCCCTATCCGTATCTTACACCTCCTGCTGACTCTCCATGGAAGCAACAATGAAAGGGAGTTACTGCTTCACCATTTCCTCCTGGTACTAATTAAACCACCACTGAGAGTCCGTTGACCAACGCAAGTCCGACCCCAGCTCTTAATCTGTTGCTCACTATCCCTGATCATGTCGTCTGCCTGTTACGGAAGGTATATGAAGCAGGGGAAGAAGTACAATGCATGAGAAAAACAGATCTGAAACAGGCTTTGTGTCTAGATGCACGTTTGATTAATCCAGATTTATGACTTGCTCTGATACTGCTCTTGACATCCTGGAATCTAAATGCGTCTCAAGACTTGCACACACTTGGCTTGTCTACCGAATGGAGAGGTGTCAGAGCAGCAGCTGCTAATATGACTATACTCAAAGACAATACCATCGCTGACGCAGTTGGTCAGCGGGTCGCGCGGATGTTGCTGGTCTTAAATTATAAGGAAATCTGCGGGTGCCCCCAGAGTCACTGTCCACGACCTCGAAGAGCCGGAGAAAAGCGAAAGGCGTATATGATAAACTGTATTGTTTATGCCTGTTTTTCCAGGGATCTCTTTAAAAGTAAATGCGATGTGATCCATAATTTCCTGAGACAAGGTAGATTGTTATGGATTATCTCCAGTATTGTCGGTCTGGGCTTTGTGCTGATATATAGTGATGAATTAATGTCCACGATGTATGTACTACAATGCACTGGCTTATACTAATGTTCGAGCTAACTTGTTTTGCAGCAAGAACGTCAGTATCACTCATAATGGGGTTAATGCTATTGCTATATCCACGTTGTACATGCGACCGAGAATGGTGGCCTTACTTTATTCTCTAGAACCGGCGGTGGCAGACTTGATGTCTGGAAAAATCTCCAAAGCTCTATATAGAGTCATTCAAGATGAGACCGGAATACTAGGGCTATCCGCTCTGTCTTGCACGAATGGAGTGTATCAGGCCCATCTGGACCACCAGTATAGCACGGGAAATTGGGAGCCGGTTGATCTTGCGCTTGCAGTCCACAAGATAAAGGAAAGATTATGTAGCAGATTCCGAGGAGCATATTTTTCTGTAGACTATGATAGTCTGAACAAGACTTCGACGGGTCTTTTTAACCAATCCCAGCCCCATAATAAAGTAACTGTTGAACAATGGCTCTTGATCCCGGGTGATGAAACATTGATTAAGTCTTAACTTGGTCACGGCCCTCATGATTTGCCTATGCAAATTTCGCTTAACCAGTGCGAACATGACAGAAACGCTACTGCTGACCAGTGGACATCAACCTTTGAAAGTGAAATAATGACTAACTCCGAGCTTGTTTTGACCAATCTTGATGAAATACTGCACAGTTTTGAGATAGGCAATCCCGACAATGGAGGGACAACTGCTGACTACGACTTTCCAAATCTATCCAATTAATAAGACACCTTTTTGATTTCCCGTTGATTTGTTGGCCATATTCTGATCTGCCTTTTCTTATTTATTATATTTGGTTTGTTGCGGCTACCAGGAGTTAACTTTATATATCTTCGTTCAATAGAACACAAGAGCTGGTCTCTGTATTACGTTATGAAGGGTCAATGGTCTCTGAATGTTCAGCTAATATAGGAGGACATTAAGAAACAACTTCATTGAGATGAAGCTTCAGGATTTAGAATCTCATCCTACATATTAATAATCATGGAATAGAATGTCTTTGTCGTAATCAGTGCCAAGCGGGCTAATCCAATTGAATTCCCCCGCGCGCGGTTGTTTTCCATAACAAATGAATGCTGGTACCAATGAGTAATTGGGGGCTGGCAAGCCGGTGAAGAGTGGGTCTTACCTGTTTTAGTATCTTTATTGACCTAGCGGAGGAAGTAGTAGTGAGGAAATCGACGGCGAACAAGTCCAGCGGCCAGTGCCTCAGGTTATCCACGCCAATCACTCCATTCTTCTTTTCGTACTTATGCATCGGTTGCATCATAATAGCGGCCATGGATTTGTGACAAGCGCTTCTCGCAGCCTTCCAGTGCCGCTATGGATTTGTCAGTTTTGAAGGGAGAAACAGGAATGGACCAGTCTTACTAATCTTTACAGTCCTATCAGATCCGAGGAGAATGTTTGAGCATGTCAAGGCTGTGTGCTCGAAACCAGATGCGACTAAGTAGAACAGGCCATTCAAAACCTATACTGACATCAGCTACCACGTGATATCTGCGTGGTCATGACTTACCTGGGCAATGATGGACGACAATTGGTTTTCACTGATGGTAAGATTTACCAGGTGCTCAAGAGTCACAGGGAGATCATCTACTCGGATATAGAATCGACTGTTGTCCGTGTAACATTCTTTTACTGACAATATATTCTCATGTTGAAGCTGCTGATACAAGCCGTGGATTCTCTCTGTATTTTCCATGGCATACTCTCGCTTCGCGGCCGTTTGAAACGGACGAGTTTGCTGCACGCAGACCACGATAGAGCCTGCGAGTCTGCAGTGGAAGGCTGGCTCAAAGTTATCCCAAGGGGACTCATCATCCCTTACGATAAGTGTGGATGATGTAGAATGTCGAGACTTTAGAGCTTGAGGGAGACCCAGGCTCTTTGGTAATTCTTGTATGGTCTTGCCGGGATTCTTTCTGAATGGATCTGGGCTATGGGCCAGTCCTTTGCGCTGTGTGCCATTGCTGGAGGAAGAAAGTGTTCCGGTCAGGTCAAAGGGGGGTCTAACTGGTGCCCGGTCGATTAGAGATTCATTGGGACTTTTGAGGGCCCTACCAGCAGCTATGGTATTCTCTATCAGATATATCACCCCGTGACAAGACGATTCTTTCTCACTAATCGGTAGGCTTTTGTGATGTTTATGCAATATCTGTGTAAATAGCTCCTTAGAGGTCATTTTGCCTTTCATTTATCTCCTCGCTGATGTTTGCCTAGCTAGGTCACAATGTTGACAGTCGCTGAGCCTCTCGCTGTGGAGAGCTCAGCGAGCGCAACTATATTTCCAGTGAGCCGGACTGCCTTTTTTGGGACTGACCGGCTAGGAAAGAGATTTAAGGATCTACTGGCCTTTGGCAGAGAAGCAGCAAGACTCTTTCAAGGAATTTACTTCTCCTGTGATGGATACCTACTTGTACACGGATACCGAGTTCCAATTGAGTCAAGAGCGGAACCGGAAGTATTTCGGAGCTGTCAAGATCAAGCTGTGACAAATCATTCCTCACCCGTTGATCTCCACCGGCCTGGATTCACATAACGTTGACCGAGTTTATGAGATCTTTTGAAAAGACCGCTGTTGTCGTTCAGATGTGCAAAATCATGTTACCGCTGTTATTGCCACTCGACATCTGTGGGAGGCTCTTGACCGAGAAGAACTGACAAGGGAGATATTGATAACTAATAATAACCGGGGCGAGTAGGTTACCCACTGCTGGACTTCGGAATGAGCCACGTGTTGTGTTTGCATGGTCAACATCGCCTCAAGGCGGCGGAGGAAGTCTTGCCCTCCAACGACCAATGGTGGATTGTCGATGTGTACTCTGATGGTAGGTCTTGGTGGCCTTTTAATGGGACTTGAGAAGCAGACAAACCGGCCACCGGTTACTTGCGTATCTGAATGCTGACATCCTGTGCGGCACAGACATTAGCCCCGAACTTCAAGCCACCCTCGTGGACGAATATCCGAACGAACGTATTGGTCGAGTGAAGGTGCCGAAACTGACAACGACGCAACGGTATTGGAAAGGGATCTCGAGGCTGAGATTGATCGTTGCAAAGAGACGTTAGCGTGAGAAAGGATATGGATGCAGCCAAAGAGGTGCCGCGTCTGAATCACGATTAACAGTCTCCTGAAGGTCCGCACCAGAGAATAACTTCACACGATACTGTTATGAATGACGTGCAGACAGTTCGCACGGAGCAGTCGGCGGACAATTCTACAGATGAGAGAGTATTACCAGCCGAGTCTTCCGCGGTTAACCTAGCTCGGACTGATCGGCCGTTAACCCAGTTCGACTTTGGAGAAGCAGAGTCTGTCCAGCAAGGTGGGCCTGATGATTTGCATCAGCAGCCACTGGAGATAGTCGTGTTTAGATCAGGAACTGCAGACCGAGAATCAATTTCCGTTCGCCCCGTATCCCTGGCGAAGGATATTCCAGCTCAGAACAATGCTTCCATAAGTCGGGGGTCAGAGCCGGCTGTTGGAGATACCGGAGAGAAAAGCAACCCGCGGCCTGTGACGCAGATTTTCGTCGAAATGGCAGAACAGCAAAGTGACGAAAGAACTGCTCTTGATCTTGAGCAGACTCTGATACAAGCAGCGTGGAATACAAAAGCAGCTCCAATGCCTCCGGTCATCTCCAGCTGTGAAACCCTCGAAGGTTTGTCAGACGAAGAACAGAGTGAGGAGCAAGATGAAGCAGGAATGCTTAGTCTGCCGGGACCGGCAGCCCGAGAAATTGCTGCAGCAAAATTGGATGGACGCTCACCTGACCTGCCTCCAGAGGCAGGGAGATCTCATATGCCTGATGGCGTTGAAGCTTTGTCGGAGATACCTAGGCAATAAAGCCCCATCCCGGGGCCCTCACAACTGAATGATTGAAGTGAACGTGCCCGACGCATCGTCACGCAGAGTGACGTGGCAGCTTGGCTCACTGGCAGGAACGCACCGGAGCGAGAGGGCGCCGTCCGTCCACATCCATCTCCAGAGCTGTCGGCGGTTGCGCCGAGTGACGAAGACGCCATTGGCCCACAACGTACTGGGAGCAAGCCCCCGGAAGAGCCGAGAAGTAGTACACCCACCGGGCGAGGGCGAAAAAAAACTTACGCCCCGGATCGTGGCCAGCGCCCCTCGAGTCGACCGTACTCACCGAGCTCCCCAGAAGTTCTTTGGTACACCAGTAAAAATTGCCTTTAAGGCTCGGGGCGAGACCGGTGAATGGAAGAAGGTTTATGAGTTAGATGTGGATCCATCCGATCCTACCGCCGTAGAGAGATTGGCTAGGAAAGATGCCAGAAACTGACAGGCGACCTTCTATGACAAGGACATGCGGATAGTAACACCGGCATAATGTTATGAGGCGGCAGTGGAGCACGGGGCAAACGTGATTTTTATGGATTTTGAAGGCGATCTGAAGATGGATGAAGAAACGCTGGCGTCTATTGCAAGAAAGGTGGAGGAAAGCCGACCGTATTAAGAGGCCAAGCGGCGGAAATGAGACACCTACAGAGCGGGCCATAAAGCCGCAGAGGATTATTGTCGTGGGTTTGATAGCCCAGGTGGATTGCAAGCCCTTGTGTCTGCCAGTTGGCGGAGCGAAGGCCGAGGGGGTTTGAGAGCTATGGACTGAGAGCCAGCCTGGCCGTAAGGCTAGTTGCCGTAGTCCAGAGATCGAGATCGCTAGACGAATGTCTCACACTTCCAGTCCTTGGCCTAAGGATCTCGGTCGCTAATCCTGGTTGGCCTGAACACCACGTTCGCGGGTCCTATCGAGTCTTCGGGCCATTGACATTGGCCTCTTCAGGCCTGGAGGCCGTACAGGTCGTAGATCCAGTGCTTTCCACCCCTGCTCTTCCATCTTCACGGAAGGGAACTTGACTGCTGGGATGGACACATTCTTGGTTTATACTACGTAACTAGGAGGTGGAAGATCGTTACCATACCTCCGACGTAAGCAAAACCTCAGGCCCCTTCAACTTCCATGACTGAATAGATAGAGGAATACGGATCTTTTACGGAATAATCTCGAGGCCGTAAGCGACATGAATCAGATTCACTAGAGATCTTAGTATAAATTAGCCTAGACACATTCCAGGTATTCCAGTATTGGAAAAGCAACTAGCCATACACATACGTTTATTAACTACATTCTCACGAGTATATGTGGAGCGCGAGCTCAGGTCCAACGTTTACTGCACTCGTGTTACTGTATCGGTGAGATCCAACTTGCCGCGAGTGCCGCTCATCTGTCCTAGAACAATATGGCTATAAGATGATTTCCTTACATCGTACTTCTGTTCTTCGAGACTTAATAGAGGCAAGGGGGTGGTTAGTGAGTACCGGGCGGCGAAGCTAGCAATAGAAAGCGCCGAGTAAATAAATGTCTAATGGCCCCTCATTTGCCTATCAACAAGAATGGTGGTGTACTGACGCTTTCAGCATGCATCAGGAGCAACTTCGACACCTTGCAGAGGCAGTAGTTCGCTGAACCACCCTGGCTATCAAACCACAGTAATAGGCGCTAGATGATTGATCGTTTGGGTCATAAACAGCCATATCCCAACATCCTAAGAGCCTGTAATCGATTATTCAAAACTAAAAGTTGTTCACTACCCTCACGATGAGTTCGAATCCTGCTACGCCTACTATCAAGTTGGTGGACTCTTTATCCACTCTACATGAGCTGCTTGAAAACCTCAGGCTAATTCCTAGATCATCACCTCCTCTTTTTGTTGATTTAGAGGGAACCAATCTGGGTCGCAGTGGCTCTATCTCCATTTTATCTCTCTATGCGGTGCATAAAGGGATAATATACCTTGTCGATGTTTATAAACTAGGGAGATCCGCCTTTTCCAACCATCAGCCCGGTAAAAATACTTCCTTGCGAGGTATTATGGAATCGCCAAGCATCAAAAAAGTTATGTTCGATGTTCGTAACAATTCGGACGCACTATTGAGCCACTACAATATTCATCTGGACGGAATACAAGACTTGCAGTTGATGGAGCTCGCCACGAGAAGCGGGTCGAAGAAATACGTCGCAGGGTTAGCGAAGTGTATCGAAAGGGACAGTCCTATCTCCAATCTCAGAAAGGTAGAATGGAAAAGACTCAAGGAGGAGATTACCAAGCGTTTTGATCCTCGCAAGGGTGGCAGTTACGAGGTCTTCAACAAGCGTCCCTTGGCACCAGAGGTTAGAGATTACTGTGCTGCAGATGTCTCCCAGCTTCCTGGCTTATACAATACCTACGAGAGAAGGATGAGTCCGACGTGGAGAACCAAAGTGCAAAACGCAACGAATGATCGCATCCAGCTATCACAGAAACCCGAATACGACGGTTAGGCAAGTGACAAAGTCTTAGGGCCATGGACGGAAGATTATAGCAAGGACTGGGACGCTTTGTTTGACGAAATGGAAGACCACGATTTCCTGGATGACTTACAATACGGTGAACAATTCGACAACATGGCTAATGATGGCTGGGATGACTATCCGGATACAGCGCGGGACTGTATTGGATGGGAAGAGGACATGATCAAAAACGGGTCTCCATTCTGATTGGGTATTTTGAATCGATTAGCAAACAAAGCTGATGTCGTAAAGCGAAGATTTTACTATGCAGAAGCCTTCTGATAGGTACTGTTTCTTGATTTTCATCCACAGCTTAGGATAGGGCAAAGTTATGTGAGTCGACACAGCAAAGGTAGGAACAGGACAAGATACATCCTGGGGGCTTGCATAGAATGTCAATGACCATTCTACACCCAGCCTACAGGTGCCATTGCCATGTGTCTTCCAACACCAGTGTAGTCGACCTGCAAACAAACGTTGATCCGATCTTTCACAGCTAATTCAACTTTTGCTTTCCAACTCCCTCCTAGTTTAGCGTGATAAATCTGCCATAAGCTCGGTAATATCTGTACATCCTGAGCACAGTATCTAATGATATCCTGTGAAAGTGGACGCTGGTTGAAGGCGTCGTATGAGCCTCCTCTTTCGGGTGCAAATAACATCCGCCCTCTGTCTTTGGCAAGCTTCCATTCTCGAGCCTCAGACATAGTCAACTGGGCATCACGCTCAATACACCGGGCTAGACCATTAATACATCGCCTGGAGAAATTGCGCGTTGCGAGCTCGAGTAGTTGAATGTCATGAATTCCCGCGAGGTGAATAGAGAAATGGTTGTACAAGGCGTCGGAGTCATTGCGGACGTCAAAGAAAGCTTTTTGGATGTGTCCAGATTCAAGCACCATTTTGAGAGTTGTGCCACTTGCAGAGGCAGTGGTAAAGGCTAACTGGCCGAGTGTGTGAATGTCAATGAGGAAGGTTCGATTTTTAGGAAGAAGAAAGATTTGTATAATCGAGATTGACCCATGACGAGATAGGTTTATGCCCTCAATATCGACGTAGAGGGATGGAGGCTCATTTGGTAGGTTGTTGAAGAGGTCCACAAGTTGGCTGATTGCAGCAACGGTATCTACCACGGTTGGTCCGACAGAGTCCATGGTTAAATGTGCAGAGAGAGTAGATAGAGTGAGGCAAATGGTACTGAGGTTTGGAAACAATCCAAGCGAAGGATGAGCTGAACTTATAAGGCCATAGATAATGAACGTTACGTACTATGGAAGATACAGCATTTCTGCTCTGCGCCCGGAGACACTGTACCCAGCCATACCATGCACCGTGCTTCCCAACAATCATCCTTGGTTATACATTATTGCTCTCCTCATGCCGATAGGCGCCAACAATGAGCGAACTACTGAAATTGAGGCCTACCAGGCCGAATGAAAATTTGACGGAATATCGGAAAGGTGTCTCCCCACCTCGGTAAAGGGGCACAAGCGAGTGAGACTCCACTTTTGAGGCCCACCGCTACGATATAGCCAATTAAACATTTTACTCTTGATCCTAGCAGGACCAAAATAGAAATTGAGGCCTACCATTTTGCCAAGCCCTACTGTTAAGGGTCCTTGTCACCACTAAAACATCTATATATACTCTTGCTGTCTGGTTCAAAACATGGACTTCTTTTTCCCTCCCCTTTCACAGGAGTGCCTCTCGTGAGAGCGGCCGCCTGGGCCACTCATTTACAACAATTCCCTGGCATTATCCTTTCCTCTATTCAATATTCGTGTGGTTTCTTTCTTTCATTATTTTCAATTGCCTCGTTCTTTCTTTTTCAAACTTCGTTCCTTCATCACTGAGCGTCAACTCAAGAGTTAGATAATTTCAGGCCGCTGCAGCTATAACCCCACCCCCTCAAGTCAGGATCTCCACCTCTAACCAATCGGGAGTCAATAATCATTCACATCTACACTATCAGTTTGTTAACCCTGAGTGGTTGGATAATCGGCTTCCTGGCCCTTTGCCCATCTCTTCGGCGCCTGAAAATCCTTACTCCTTGCCTTCGGCGAATATACCCTCTCAACCCTGTCGTACCTCTACGAGTCTTGCCTTATTCTGTCCTACGGAAACATCCCCTCTTCGCGATCATAGCCAGCGTAATGAAGCACCGCCTGGACGTTTCCGCTGCCCCATGTGCAATGGCAGTTTTTCTAAGCAGCACGAACTCAAGTAGGTTATGAACACGCTTCTCATTACATCTTGCTCTATCTTGAAAGCAATTAGCTCACTAAGTGCGAGTCGACATGCCAAGCGACATACGAGACCGTTCAAATGTACTGTTCATGACTGTGGAAGGGCGTTTGAGCTCAAGAAGGACCTGGATCGACACCGCAAGGCAAAGCACCCTGAAATGGTGGAGGGCTTTGTTCCTCTCTATTGTCCGTTTGAACGGTGTAAGCACAGCAAAGGGACGGGCCGTGGCTTTTCAAGGACAGACAACCTCAACCGGCACGTTAATACGGTACATGCTAGGAATGGGAGGGCTTGATTTATTCGCTAGTATACCACATAGCACTCTTTGGAAAGGAACTATGTCAACACGCGTCGTTCCCTGTAGAGTGAGTTCAAGTATTCAACACCGTATAAAGCAGAGCACTAGTTAAAGCTTAGGGCTTTCTTCTCGTTCCATTCCTGTTGTTTCAATGCAGGGTGCAGCAAGATTTCTCTCAGCCAGTGTGATTATGACACACTGCCCCCGCCTCAGCTATAGTCCCTCTGGCCTCGTGAGCTTTCAGAACACATGCCTAAGGCCGCCAGGGACCTAATACGTTACAGCCATGAGTAAAGAAATATGTGACATTACAACTCTTGAACCTCCAGACTCCAGTGTGTACATCGCTTCCTCCCTCAATGGCCTCTATTTTGCGCCAATCCCCTAAATTCTCTTCGTATCCCTCGTCATGTACATAGTTGGTTAGGGAGGAAATGAACCTTTAACAGCGTATCTAGCGGCCATCGCCAGCAGCCGACTTAATGCCATACAGTAGCAGATGGAAGTTCGGGGTAATGATCTTTTTTCACCGGTTCTCTAGGCTCAGGCACTCCTTCACAAAGACTACATCCGTCGCTTGGCTTACTTATGTGTGCCAGCTGATGTTCCATTTGGAGAGTGCTTCAATCACTTAGCCATTCGTCGTGATCCTTTTTTGAATCGCTCATAATACGTAATATCAAATGTCTGACCCTCGTATTGAACCAATCATTGATGGCTTTAGTGGAAGACTCGACAGTGACTTGGCTTCTAAGCGGGGCAGCTATCCAACTATCCATTTTGAGGCACCAATTCCTTATCAGATTGGCCAAATCGGGAACGATGCGCTCAAGGCCGCTGACATGATAGTACTCAGCACGTTCTGTGGTATGAAATGGTTACCTTCGCAGGTCTTTTGACTTCAAATCAGGTATAGGTTGGCTCTGCTCTCCGAATCAACGCGATAGTAGGACGGAATGACTGGATCACGAGTTCGTCTTCTCGGTATGCAACTCCAGACCCGGCAGTTGCTCACTTTGACACTAGGGGCTTCTTGAAGGTAGAGCATACGTTCCTCTGCCAGTAATTCGTCTACTGTAGAATATGTGAAGGCTCCTCTTCTGAATCATTCTCTCTTTTCCGTTTCCTGATGTCATACGTTTCCAGAAACGTGATTCCACTGCATTCGTGGTTGTCGTTGGGTTTCCTACTGTGTGGAGGCATGGCGCTAGTGTCCTTGAATTATGGACTCTCGGAACGTCTGGGCTATGAGATACAGTCAAAGTATATGCTTCCAACCTGCGTGGTCGCATTTCCCAGCAAAGGTTGGCGGAGTTGAAAGCGGGATTACGTTAGTGCCCCAGCGAGTAGTTAACTAGCAGGAGAACAAATTATGGCGTAAGCCCACCGTAGGATCAACCACAGTCGTAGCCCATCAATATACACGCTGAGGAATTTTCTGGGTCTTGTTCTCGTTGATACATGGTTCACGCAGCCATTGTCGTGAGCACTTAGAAGGAAGATGCATATCCCAGCAAGCGTTCAGCTCGGCTAAACCCATGAGAACATCCACGCAAGGTTGAGACCCGGCGTGGGGTATTTGAAGAACCAAGTCTCGTGTAGTTTGAGCCTGCATTTAAGTCCACGAAACTCTCTAAGGATATAATTAGCTCATTGGTCTTTCCTCAAACTACCCGAAACTCAACTGTTTCCAACCTGCCTTCCAATTCACCAGGAGTTACGCCATGGGAAAACGACTCTCTAGGTATGTCTTCGCCCTTACAATAAACAAGATGTATCTGTCTAAGACTATTCAGTGTTTTCAATACTCGAATTATAAAGTTCGAGGTCGGCCCAAGCAGGAAGGAGTTTCTCCTCCACTCTGGATTGTTTAGAGATAAAGCAGGTTCTTGGGGCCTAGAGGAATGTGGTGATTCAACATCTTCTGGCCATGACATGGTGAACATAAGTGAACCTGTCGAGGATATCTTCAAATTTGTCTGCGAATATTTATATACGGGCGACTATCAAATCTTTCAACCTCGTCACTTTGTCCAAATTCCACGACGACGCAGCTCCCTGTTGGAGGGGCGCGGAATAAGTCTGAAGGACAACTACTTTGAGAACAGTGCATCCGTGGAACGAGCCTCGCATTACTTTATCAGAAGGCTAAGGTCCAAGCCGGACCATCCGCTAAGTATCAGCTGGGCAGATTACAGCGATGTCTTACTGCAGCATGCGCGCCTCCATCATTTTGCTGGCCAACGCGGATTGGAGGAGCTAAGTGATATAAGTCTCTACAGGCTATTACACGTGCTTCACGAGTTTCCTCTTCACGAAAGGCGGGTCGGACATGTCTTGCAGTTGTTACGTCTCGTATTTCAGAATACACCAGAGATGTCCGAGGATATTGAGAAGTTGATGGTGGATTTCACTACCGCACACATAAAAGGCCTCGTCGAGGTGGAAGAATTCCAACTGCTTTTGGATGAACTACCTTCATTGAGTCGCCGTATTCTGTTTAACCTGGCCACATTATCTGCACTAGAAGTCGATAGCAGGCGTGGGGATTGAGGGTTTGCATAATGTGGGATATATTTGGGCGATGTTCGCAAGCTGATCAGCAAGGTCCGCCCATAGTATGATGGTGTATCTTCCAAGAATCTTCCCTATCATCCTCCTTTGTTTTATTGGACAACCCTTCTCGTAACTTTTCGGAGTGTCGTAGTAGGTATTGATATAGTGGTGATATTGGATCTTATACAAATCTCCTCCAAATTGTCTTGTCTAGATACAATATAAGTCAAAGTCGGTCTAAATTACAGCGAAGGTCCCCTGAGACGCTAACCTATCCCAGAGCCGTACTGTATTATCTTTGGAGCCAGACACCAGCAACCGACCGTCGGGGGAGAAGGCTACTGACTAGACCTGGCCCGTATGGCCCTCGTGGCCAGATCCCAGAGCCGGATTGTCTGATCATCGGAGCTAGACGCCCGCAGCCGGCCATCAGGGAAGAAGGCTACTGACTCAGCCCAGTTCCACACTATCATGACTTGACATATCATCGTACAATGTAGGTTGGAGTACTAAGATCGCACGTAGGCCAATCATTATTCTCATCGCCATTCCTTAAATTCTGCCAAGACCTCTCCCACCTATGACCTCCAAAAAGATCCGGGTGACGCGCTCGGTTGGCTTCTTCTTCGGCATATTGAAGAGGTGTTTTGCCACTGATATCCTTGGCATGGAGATTAAGTAAGCCCCTGTGTCTAAGGAATTGTGTAAGAGATTTGTTGAATGCACCATGAATCGCGCCATGATGTTCAATACCCATGCCATCAGCGTCCTGCGCCGTTATGTCCACGAGCCCCATCAGAACCTTAAGAATATGAACGTTGTCATCGCTCCACTGTCGCATCAAGAGATGTAGAAGATTTCGTTGCTTCTGGTCCGTCCAACGTATGCCTTCCGGACTTGAATGCTTATGCAGAAGCTGGAAGACGTCATGTCTCAATAGCACATGGAAAGATCTTAAATATTGACTGAGTGCTGAGTTGCCCTCCGAGTCGAGTCTGTCTACATCACAGCCAAATTCCATGAGAATACTGATGGTCTCAATGGAGCACATCGGTGATTCAGCATGGTAGTGTAACATGCTCTTCCCTAGATGATTATCCTGGGCGCAGGTTCTTGAGAGTTCCTCGTGGCACTTTTCGGACATGAGTCGTAGGACATCTGAGCGGTTGTGGCAAACAGCATAGTGGACCGGACTCAAGTTGTGTACATCGAGTAACGTAATGTCGCTTCCCTTTTCCAAGAGTATGCGAACAGCTTCCACATTTCCTGCCTGGCTAGCAAGGTGAAGGCAAGTTTGACGCTCAGAATTCAAGCTGGAAATTTGTGCTCCACGGTAGAGAAGTGCTGATAGGATGATACAGCCATGGTATGCGCGTGCTGCATCGAACGGAATCACATGTAGTGGATATTGCCCGTCATTATTTGCAATGTTGATATCAATAGATCGACTTTCCAAAAGCTGCAGGACTGTCTTTTCTCTCATTTCATCAATCGTTGCCCATACTTCGTTCCCTTCTTCTTCATGATCGGTGATAATGTCGGATAAAGTCTCCACCATATACTCTCCAGTCACCCAGGGGTCATCATACCTGTGCCCTCCTACCTGGCATCGAATTGCCAAATGTAAAGGCGTGTCACCATATTCGTCTATGGCATTTGGATCAGCACCACGGTTAAGCAGAAGTGCAGTCATTCCCAATATCCCGTTCAGAGCTGTAAAGTGAAGTGCAGTCAATCCGACAGAGTCGTCTCCTCTCATTGGTTTCTCGAAGCTTTCATCAACCTTGTAAGTCACAAGATGATTTTCCATCCTTTTGGTCCAAGATTTTCTGTGTAGTCTAAAGTTCACATCAAATCCTGTGTCGAGGAGGAGTTGGGCAAGATCTTCCGCCCGATTTTCCAAAGCATACAAAAAGGGTGTCATGTTATTCACATCACAAAGGCCTGTAGATGCTCCTTGAGAAATAAAATAATTCAGCAGTGGAAAACGATCTTTATGCCTGGGGCTCCGACAGATGAGATGCAATGGATTTTGATGCTTATTATTGACAACATTCACTCGTGCTCCTGCTTGAACAAGTGAATGAATCACTTCGGCCTGCAAATTCTCCACTGCACACAGTAGTGGCGATCGCCCATGATAATCTTTTGCTTCAATCATCTCGGAAATTTGGATAAGCTGTTGGACAAGTTTCTGGTTCCCAATTTCTGCAGCAAAATGGAAAGCACACTTGGACTCTTTATCACATAAATCAATTGATGTCTCTCGTTGCAACAGCAAGTCCACAGATCGAGTATGGTGATTCATAATTGCCCAGTGAAGGGGAATTCTCCCGGCATCATCGTCTAGATCTATCATTTTTACCCTTCCTCTCCAAAATTCACATGCCTGAAATGCGAGAGCGAAAGCTATCATGCTTTGGAATGGCAGAGATAGGCTCGGGGTAGAGAGATGGCCCAGGATAGACGGGATAAGTTTGGCTGTACTCCATTTTGGCATCTCTGGGATAATTAAAAATTCCCGCAGAAAGCTTGTGCGTCTTTCAAGAAGTAGCTTGATAATGCTCTCATGTCCCTTGCCTGCAGCTCTGGAAAGCGGGGTTCGACCGTAATTATCTCTCGACCTCACTGAGGCACCCTTCTCAAGAAGCAGCTCGGCGATGGCCTGGTGTCCATTCTCGGCTGCCCAAGATAGTGGAGTCCGACCGTCACTATCCCTCCCATCCCAGAATGTCTGATTTTTGAGGACTTGGGACGCGGCCTCATTGATTCCAAAAAAGGCGATCAGGTGAAGGGTTGTCATCTGCCTTATGCCTTGGCTATAACCCGAGTAACACTTGCGTTTAGAGACTGTCAGAGCCTGACACAAGGCAGAAACCTTTGTTTTACTTTGAAGAAGCCCTTGGACGATAGTTGCTGTTTCTCTACCAGCTGCACGGGCATGATGTCCCCAATTTCGCGCAGCGTAGTCATAGAGAGGATTTTCTTGAAGTCGTCTCTCAAAGTCTTCATCATTGACACAAAATCCAGCCTCAAAAGTCTCGAACGACAGATATGTAGAACAAATAATCGTCAAATGGGACTCTGCGGAGGGGAACCAATGACTTTTATTCCTCTCAAAATACTCCTGCGCGGTATGGTGTATTAAACGGATGAACCGGCTTTCTTTGTCAACCTCGACTAGCCCAGCACATACAGAAAGCATGTCATCAACCTGCGGGACATTGTCTTTGTCCAGGAACAATATCCCCGGCTCCACTCCGAGCGCCTCCTGAAGCTCACTAGAGCTAAGTTGCCTCTTAGAGCAAGTGATCCACATCAAGACGTCCATTGCAAGTTTTGATGCGTCAGGATTTTGGCCATGGATTCTGTACTGAGCATCATCATATGCTTTTTCATATGCCTCGGGTCCTTTTGAAATCTTTGACAATGTCGCGCTGATCTGTTTCAGTGTCGTCTTTGTTTTTATGGACTCGAAGTGAAGTCGTGCGAGCAAGAACCTGGGTAGGTGGTCAGTGTATCTCGTCTCATTTGTAAATTGTAATTGGAGTTGGCTTACATTCCATCTGCAAGTTCTGTGATTCTTCTCTTGATTTCCTCCTTGTGTTTTTGTAAGAGCTCTGATCTTGCCATTGAAATACGCCCTTCCAAGTATTTCTCCACGTCGCTTTCATGCGCACGAATTTCCAGGTTGTCGCCTCTGAAACTCTTCACAATTTCTGGAATTGGCCTCGCAGTGGCCAGTATGTTCATAGGACAAGTCTTCTGAATCTCAAAAAGTTGGGATAAGAAGACGTTTTGGCAGTCGTCTGCAGTCCCGCATTCATCAAGCGCGTCAATGACAACAAAAACTTTCGTATATGATGACACAACAGATTGTAAACCTCTGACCAGTTCGTTCAATGATGGGCGTGTCTTTCTATCTTGATGTTGTTCGTAGAGTTTCTTCACGCTTGTTGGTAGTGGAGACCGGAAGTGTGATAGTTGTTTCAGAATGCTCGCCAGTAAATTTTCAACGTTCTGATCCTTCTTTCGCAGGAAGTCGCAGTAAATATATGCCAGGCCAAGATCGTGTTTACTTGTGCATTGCGCGGTGAGGTCGTCAATGACTACCGCGGTTAGGATCGTCTTCCCAGCTCCAGGAATGCCTGAGCATAACAACGTCTTCTTATCCCCTTTTCGCCAATCATGGTACTTAACTGACTCAATAAGCCATTGACTAGTCCCTGGTTGCCTTGACCTAAGAAAATGACTTTGTCGGGGGCCGTAATTAACCGGGGTCAACCAATCGAGTACTTTAAGCTCTTCTGTCCTATCTAATCGTGAATTCATTACGTTGACACTTGATTCGACCCTGGAGACAGTTGCGTCGACTATAGTCTCTGTCAGCTGAAGATCAATCATTTTGATTAGAATCAATTGACAGACTTACTACCACGAAGAACTTCTGTAATCCTCATCTCGTTTTCAACCCTTTTGGGAGTGAGTTTATGGAGAAGATCCCGCGCGTATGCAGCCGCTACCAGGGCTGCGTATCCTTGCCAATCCTTATTCTTGTGGGAGTCTGCGTAATCACAAATACCGCGAATGACAAGGCAAGGAAAGTGGTTCATCAGCCCCGCTGCTTCCATCTCAAAGCACAGAACATCCCTTTCCGCCGCAAATCGATCCCGAAACGAAGCATCTTTCACTAACTGATTTGCTGAAGCAATCAAGCCATGGTGGATTGCTGGATTATCTTCATCCGCTGTACGTTCGTGTCGCATTATCAGGCGAGACAAGTTATCTCCGCAGGCTACTGCGCAGCCGGCTTCCTTGTCCAGAGGGTGGATGAATTCGCTTCGGTACAGCCTGTCGCTAGCTGGTTCCGGTCGCTTGTACTTCTTCCGCAGTCTTGGATTCCTCTCCAAAACCCTGTCGATAGCCTCTCCTAGCTGATGACCGCCGATCTCATACTGACTCTTGAGTCCGCTGACAGCAGCGCGGAGGGCACTTGGTGGCAGGTTCAACACTCCTGTGTTTTGGAAGGATGGACCCTGTATGGCTTTGCCAAAGTCATAATGGAAAACCCCACTGTTCCCATTTCGAGGAGTGCTGACCACTATGTCTCCAAGACGAATGTCGTGGTTTGGACTTGGTGCACCGCCGCCGACGCCTACCATCAGGCCAACCCTAATATTAGGAAAGCTATGTAACATGTCTCTCGCGACATTTGCTGCGGAAGATACACCGTATTCCCCATCCGGTAAAACGGCAATGACGACCATGTGTTTTCCAACCCTGCCACACGCGTAGTCGTTATTGTCAGCAGGCGAGAGGGAATCTGGTGCTTGGTGCTCCTCATCAAGAAAGGCTTGCGCCGCAGTAAATTCTGTGCTGATCGCGCAGATCCAACCGACGGTGTATCCCTTAGGGTCAGACATAACTACCTGCGGAGTACACTGGACAAGAAATTATTTGAGGCGACTGAGAATCCGGGTGTGCACAAATCTGGCCGTTTACACTGCAGCGGAGATTTGGGTCGCGGAGACAACACGCGTTATTATTGACAACAATAAGGAGAAGCAATATGTGGGAAGAAATAGAAACCTGGAATACAGTCCCCAGGGAATTGATCAGCGGGTCAACACTTCAGCCTTATGAACCGAGCGGCAATAGGAAAGATGCTATTGGCTGGAATAGTCTCATACTCGTGCCCGATGTGGGTGTATTTTGGGACATGGGTCCTGGTGTTCTCATCCAACCTATTGCATAAATCAAGTTTTTGATAAAAATATACATATTTGGTGTGTGCGCCAAAATCAAACGGAAGGGAACAACATCATTGCCACCACTCTTGAATACGACAAATTGCGAAGAGTTAAAACGTAGTCTCTCCTGTGTGGGCCCAAGCCTGGCCATAAACAGATGAGAAAGAGAGGTGATGCCATGGGAAATCGAATAGTCCCCGGTGTGGATTCGTGTTTGACAAGTATACACTGACGAAATCGTTGCGAAGCTTCACGTGCTGAATGTCGCGATGATGTTATATTAGTCAGGAGGAGGCACTCTAACTCCTAAGCGCTTTCGTGGCAAACACCTGACAGCTCCAAGTCATTGGCTGCTCATTCGACTCCCAACTCACATGGGAACGAGTTTATGGGGGATTCTTTTGGTGTTTTTTTTTTTTTTTTTTTTTTTTTTTTCGGGGTACCAATGATGCAGTGGATTGAGCCCGTATTATTATGTGTATCTAAAAGGCACTTGCCTTGTACGGAATGATAGGCTCATGCATGCAATAATGCCGAAGTCGGCACAAAGTCAAGTGACATGCTGCGGGTACTTCGCCAAGCTTCAGGCGGGGAAGCTTTGCTTGCCCATCTCCCTCGCTCATACCCCCGCTTCTGTCTACCTGACTTCGACTTACCTTTTAATGATGAAAACGTGTGCAGGTTCCAACCGTGCAAACGGGTTTGCACACCCTATTCAGTCAGATCTCGTTCAGTCAAGCCCTACTCAAGCGGATCTTCTTCAAGCGGGTCCCGTCCAAGCGGGCCCTGTCCTAGCTGATCAAGTGGATCCTGCTGAAGAATTACCCAGACTCCTATCAATACGGTGGGCTGTCGGCGAGCGATGGTGGTACCGCTCAAAGTAAGTCCCTTTCAAGATGTCGCAATATATGCTGATCATTCAGTTACACAGGTTCTCTCCTCTTCAACACAGGCGCCTTCATCCTTCCATCAATCTACGGCACACTTGTGAAGATCTGGGTCGCGAACATTGACGCCTCTCTGGTCGTCACAACGGATGTTTACACGTACATTGGAACGATCACGGAAGTCATCAATGAAGGTCTACCACGCGCAGTATGGTCCACAATCGCCGACAAGGAAGCACGAACCATTGAAGCTCGCTTAGGGCTTGCGCACACACTACTGATATTCCAGGCCTTTCTGGGGGCGATACTGAGCATTGTATTTTTGGGTGCTGCACGAGAGTTTTCATCTAAATTCGTTCCTCATGAAGTCCAAGAGGCAAGTATAACGTACGTCCGTATCAGCGCCTTTTCTGCTCTGAGTTCTGCGGTTGAAGTTGCTGTTTCCAACGCAACCCGCGCGCTGGATAAGCCAGACGTTTCACTCGTGATCAGCTCCATCAAGGTAGTGGTGAATATTATCCTTGACCTTTTAGTAGTTTCCAAGTTCCACGTCGGCGGGTGGGTGCCAACTGTCAATATGCAAGCTGGGGTACGCCTTGCTTGTGATATGATCGCAGCATTTTCTGGCCTCTCGTATTTCGTCATGACTACGAGCCGCAAGAGGAAGGCTGAGGCACCATCTATCCGTGGGTTCCTCGTCCTGTTTAAGCCAGGGTCTGCTGTGCTTATCGAGTCGGCTATCCGTAACGCGCTGTACCTTTGGCTTGTGTCAGGTGTCGTCGCTATGTCAGCGGACTATGCGACCGCCTGGGGCGTGTTCAGTACAATACGATGGGGATTGATCATGGTGCCTGTTCAAGCCACCGAAGCCTCCACACTGACCTTTGTAGGCCATGAGTGGGGACGTTTGAAGCAGAGAACAGGATCTGGGCGGTGGTCCTGGGCGAGCCTCTATCGTACGCTCTCATTCTTACATCGTCGGGCCGGAAGATGACACTGATTCGTCGCAGTGGTTATCCGACCAGCATTACTCTCGGTGATCATAGTTCTTATTTTTGAAATTTCTCTTCTACTGGTCATGGCCTTATATGGGTGCGAGTCTTTTGCATACTGGCTCAGCCGCTCGGTGCCAGTTTCCAAAATAGTAGCACATATGTGGCATACTATTGACTGGTATATCTTCCGTCCCTGCTCCACCTTCTGTAAGACCTATCTAAAGGAATGTAGGTGCTACGTTCTCTACGCAGTCTCAACCCAGCTCACGGCTATCCTCCTTGCAACCCGCACTTCCTGGTATCTCGCACAATCACTTATTTCGAATATATTCTATGTACTACCCTGGGCGATCGTATGCCAGACTGTCGACCTTGACCCAAGGAACGCATGGACATACCATAGTCTCGTCTTTGGAGGGAGTTTGGTATTCACTTTCATCGAGATCTTGATAATTGACTCCGTTTGGGTGGGGAGATTCCGACGAGGAAATTTAGGATTTTAAATGTACAGGAGTGCCAATGATGCATCGCATAATGATTGCAGGAACAAGATGCTAGTTACCGAAAGCCACTGCCGAGTGTGGAATCAATAGCTGTCCGCTCAAGGAAGCGAAGAGCTTCTGCCTCACGAAATAAATGAATCCTAGTATCAACGATATGACCTGTCTTGAATCCCAACTTGTATACCACAGCTCCTGGGCCTAGGCACGAAGCATATTTCTTCAGCTGCTTTATGGTCTTTGAGGCAATGAACGGGTTTGATCGGAAGCCGAAAAAATTCTTGTACTCAAGCCAGTAGCATAGACATCCGTCAATCATAATAGGCTCTGAGAATCGAATATTGGGCGTTGGACGCAGTTGCAGTTTTTTCTGCTCGCTCTCAGTGAGGATATGGTGGCCAAAACTTCGCACACGATCAACGAAAGACGCCTCGGCCGTTTCTGCCTCTTTAGCTTTCTTTTGCATTCTCTGCGCTGCTTCAATCTTGCCTTCCGGTGTGTTGGCTGGGGGAAGTAGGCGAAGTGCAGCTTCAATCAGAGCCGAAACGACCGTGTGGTCCAACCATGTATCGACATGTTGCAACAGCATATCCACATCAGGTTTCCGGAAGCGAAGATAGCACGCCGTTCTGAAGACAGGAGTAACTTCCTCTCGTGGCACTCCAACATAAGAAGTTATTGGTATGGTAACCGCCATGCCAACGTTCCATGCTGGTGTGTCAAGCGTGGTGCTTTCAGTTTCACACGATAACTTTCCAAGAATACAAGCCGGATTGCTTTTTGGGCGCGGACAGTGGCTTCTCGAAGTTTCCACATGCTGTTTCCTTGAACGTGGAGATTTGAAAAACCTATCGCACTCATTACAGAGATGCTTAGAGGATTGGAGGTGCTGCATCAGAGCATGTCCAGTTGTAAAATACCGATCACAGGGGACACACATAGGCATTATAGCTGGGAACAGGTATATTAATGGCGGTTTAGGTGCTTTTGAGTATGCAAAGAAAGTAAGTCCATGAAGCAAGATCGGGATACGGGTCTTAAATTGATGGATCCTGACCTCCTACTTACTTTTCCATCAACCTCAAGGGCCGCCGGGATAGTTAATATACCCGATAACTACCAAACACGTCGCTGCCTGACACCTGTGTGATGATCGGTACCGGCGCGTAAATAATTTGTTCATTGGTAGGTGTAGAGGGGTAATCCTGGAAGCCGACTAATGGGAGACCTTTTCAGCTGGAAGAATTTCAGACGGGCATTTGTAGAAGTTTCCTCAGTCAAAGCGTTCGTCGTGTGACTAAAAGGTTCGATTTGTTCTTCATTTGTCTGTATGATGTTTGTCAACCTTCGTCTTCTCTGTGTCTCGAAAAGAGTGATTTCCACTCTCTTTCAAATAGAGTAGACTTAGGAGTCTATGGATGCCTCAACAGGACCTTCTGTAGATTTTTATGCCCTCTTAGACAATATAAAACTGGGTTGAGAGGACACTTGGATAATCTAAATAGGCGGGAATTGGGCGACACCTAGATAATGCCCGATCGAATTTCAGGCCGGTGGTTGATGTTAGGCCTAGCTTATATTCGACTGCGTGAAATACGTACAGCAGAGGATGAATGAGGCTCCTTCCCGCACGAATAATTTGCTAGCACGTCACACTTCAATATCGAGCAGACAATACGCCAGGCATCTGATATTTAGGTTTCTTAGGAACAAGACTACCACTTTTACGTTAGCCAGCATGATACATGGGGTAGATTTGTTGCATATAAATTGGTGACTCACGACTAAAAGGTCAGCCTGTGATCGCAAACCTTGGCAAGGCTGAGAGGTATCATGGGAAAAGCATTCTCTATATGAGTAATTCTTCTTTATCTCACGTAGCAGTTCGTGGTTGGACCAGATACGGGTCATCGATATGAGCCGAGATATGGAGGCCGCAAACGGATGTCGACTAGTCTTTGTAGATTGATTAGGTGGAGTAGAGGGGGATATTTGGGAGCCTCAGCTATGTCTCAAGCGAACTGTGGACCATTAGACCTGCTCGATTGGTATATGAGGCACGTGGCACGTTTCAAGTTTGGCTAATGCTAAAATGCCTGGAAATGGTGTTTCAATCAGCAAATCATGGTAGATATTCAGTATGCTTGCAACTATACCACCTGTTGGCAAGCGTGTTTATTCTTTTCGCGCGACGATGAGTTCGTAATATACTCCAGTCTTATTGAGTTAGAGCTTGAGACCACAGACACTACTCCGGGTTTCATGGTTATCACATAGGAGGTTTAAAGCTGCGTAGAACTAATTTATTGACCCGAAGAAACATATGGGTACAAGAGAAAAAAATTCGGCGGCTGTGGTTAATCAATGCTAAATAAATAAACAGGCAGAAGGAAGAAAAAAAAATAAAGTTAATACCTATGGTTATATTTCTAATGAATCTGTTGGTATTCTAATACTAGCTGGCTTTGAGTTTTGCCTCTAATTACTGTTCCGTGGCATCTCTCTGTGTGGTTTGAAAGATTAAATTTATATTAAAATAGTTTTCTCTTAATAAATACTATATTTAACACCTCTATGCGGCCACGGGGGGGTTGACGTGGAATTAAAGGAAATTCTAAGTAAGGAATCCAGGCATATTATACTTAGTAAGCTGGTTAGAAAGTGGAAGGTTAGGATTTACTAAATAGATAAAGCATATCAGAGATTATTATTTAAAATACTTGATCTGCACAGATTTTACTGCTTCTTGTAGAGTAATCTTGGTCTTATTTTTTACTAAGTCTCGCTGTTACTTGGCTAGGTGGGATGAATTGTTGGTCTCAGGTATAAGTTAGTGGTAAGTTTGAGTTTATAAAATAGATTAATCCTTCTTTACAGGGCAGAAGGCTGTCATGGTATTAATTATATCAATCTGGTGTTAATGCTCAGCTTCCAGGGTTGTACCTGGGATGGTTAGTATAGTATTAAATATCTTGAGATATTATAAAGATATAGAGTTCTTCTGCTTAAAGCTCCTATGACTTTTGTATCCACGAGTTTTCTTGAGTTATCAATAGCGCGGTTATACCGTTCCTCGGTTACTGGAGTTCTCTTTTTCTTGCATACTCTGTTCTCTTTTCTTTCACATCATGCTGGTACTCTGCAGTAAAACCACGTGTCTCACCGAGCTTGCAGAGTTGAGCTTTTTTTTTTTGTACCTGCTCTGATTGAACTAGGCTTTGATCATGTGACATGATTGACGATCTGTATGGAATTACTTGTAGAAACTGTTTCCTGCATAAAAGAGATGCTGTTTGAAGAGAGGAAAACTGATGTTCAACTGGATCAAGCGCCCTATTTAATATTCACAGGTTCCTGGCTGGCTGCTAGGGTCTCAATCACGGACCCACTTGCTCACCCAAATCAACTGCACTCACCCTGGGACTTAGCGCTGCTCACCCCAAAAGCAGCAATCCAGAAAAGGCTCATCTTCCAGTTCGTCGCGTTCAACTCTGTGGCTCAAGTACGGCTGAGCGGACGGGAAGCCCTGTTTTCCACACCCTGTGGTCCTATGTACTGGTTCTAACTCTGGCTTGAATGATATCGTGTTTTGGAGAGTTTATTACTTGACGCGTTGCCAATGATCACGGAGCCAGTCAAGTAGGTGGGTTTAGGAAGCCGAAAACAAGTCACTAAGACCGGAATGATGTCCTACTTTATTGTTCTATAAGGTCTAATGGTTTGACGAGGTCTTCTGATTTGATAATGTTTTCTGGTTGATTGAGATCTTGAAGTTCTATAGTACTATTTCTAATATATAATATATTTTGAGAAAGTTTGTTTAGGATATAAATAATATCTTTTAAATAACCTAATAAATGATGAAATAAGCTGAATGAAATAATAACAACTAGCCTGGGATACTCAGTGACCACTAACATACACCTTCTGTTGTATGTATCTTTTTATCATTATTTCTCTGAGCAATTCGTAGGGTTTAGTTAGTGCCTGTGCCGCTGGGCCCTCATAATCTTTTATCAGTACCGCTTCAAAGTCGTCTTCTCCGGACGTTAAAAGCCAGAGCCAAATCTGTCGTAAAACAAGAACTGAGAACCGTTGAAAGTTCTTCTTCTTCAGTAGGGATGAACTTCCATTTAGTATATGTCAAATTTGCCCCGTTGGCATTATAATGCCTCCTATAGCTCAAAATTGAGTTCTATAGATCACCCATAAATACCACCATGCAACTATAACGGGGTTATATCGAGCAGCCAGGTTCTGCGGAGTAATCTGTCTGGGCCTTGGATAATACGACGCCTAAATTAGTTAGTTTTATATACCAAGCGTACAGAGTAGTACGCCCACCTCCGAGCTGCTCTTTCCAAGAATGCCAGCCCCCGTCCGAAGTAAAAAGACACTCGCGGTTATGCCTCAATCTTGTCAGGGAAACGTCTGCGTCTCTCTTCTAGCAATATTCATATGCCTTGAGGAACAGCTGAATATATCTCCGTCGACTTCGTTGACGATTTCCTGCCTTGGCGGTGTCCGGTCGCCGGTGCTGGATGGTTCTTGTTGTGAGTCATCACGAGCTTTCTCGTAATCAGCAGATGTTTTAGGATTTGCTAGCATCAACTATATCAATCTAAGTTATCAATCTAAGTTACCTATTAACTCAGGAGAATTTGTTGGGGCCAGCATGAGAGACAAAGGGGAATTATTATGTATCTGATTATACGAGTGCCCGATAAGAGGGACCGTGGTTCTGGCATTGGGATTACGATTTCATGTTGCATTTAAATTTCGTTCTTTTTCTGAGTGTTCACAATGGATCATCTGTTCCCGTGAAACCAAAGACGCTATTGTCCCTTTGAAAATGCAATTTTGTCAATTTGCCTCTAAGGAAAATTGTAAGCTCCGAAAAGGAAGGCAATTGACCAGTCACAGTTACTAAAGATAGCATTATTCGAAGTTCAGCAGGCCTGTAGAGTTGAGAGGCAATTTGCGTTCTCAAATCTAAGGCTGATTATCAAAGAGAGGTCCACTAATGACTAAGGAGGGTTAGTTGAAAGTCGTTGTGGTTAGACTATTGGCCAAGGTAGTGGACTATATCAACACTCATTAAATAGGTGGTCCCTTCACCAACAAACTAGAGAATATCTGCTACACTCTAGCGATTGATGTTGCTTGGACCTCGCCGCCAGCTGGGCAACTGATTGAGGGCTTGGTTGGCAACTTTACGGTACACTCCCTGATTATAAATCATATGATATTCACGGATCAGCTCAGCGTAACATGAGCCTGTTCGTGTTATAAAATTCAAGGGTGCTATGCTCAGTATCATCCAGCGAGTGACATGTGGGATTTGGACTGGATCCACGGCTTGGGTGCGTAAAACCTTCGGCCTGAGTTACGCCGAATTAAACCACCCTGCTCCAGCGACCACCATATATACTTCAACCGTATCCTACGACGAAAACCCCGCCTGCTGCTTCACCTGAATATTCACCCTTGCCATCTGTACCCCGCTTTAATCTATGAAGTGACGTGGTCTTTTCTCGGAATAAATCGCGCAAGTCAATGCAATGGGACTTCGGCTTGGATGTGCGAGTAGCGAGATAAGTTTAGCCAGAAACCGTTGACGGTGTCCCTCCTCGTGACCCCAATCTTTTGCAAAATAAATAAAGAGACTTCAATATTGAAATTGAGAAGCTGGCTGAAGAAGCTCTCCAATACGGATCCATCAGTTCCACAGGCTCTCGACCTCCCCGACGTTTGCAAAACTTGGCCGTGCCCGTGCCCTCTCCAGTCCCTGCATGGTAACCCACCCGCGCCTTGTCGGTAGCCTGCAGATCCAGGTCCATAATCCTGGCGGGCTTGCCTGACCGTGAAGCTGGTGAAGTAGAAAAAAAGCGTCTTTCAAGGCAAACAGTCGAGCCAAGCCGGGAATGCTCTTGCGGAACATGGTCTCTCATAGCCATAACGTCGTATGTTTTTCTACCAGTCAGTTAGTCATTCAACGTTTAATGTCATCCAGGAGTGAGATGCGTAGGGCGAATAAAATAAGTAAGTAGATATACAGATACCTAAGTGACCAGGTCTTTGAAAGTAAATCAGTAGGCATTCAATAGATCAACTATATCATATAATTTACTAGTATCATGATTGAAAGACTATATTTCCTGGTTATTTACGTTTCCTGTCTGGGTAACAAATAGTAAACTGACATTGGTGTGGTCTACATTTACTGATGTTCTTTACTGTTCACTATCCTGCAATGAACTTTATTGAATATGACGTACTGCAGTACTGAAGGGTAGAGACACCAGGGTTTAACACTGACCCTAATCTCTCTGAGACCTAGGTTTATTCTAGGCTCCTAGCGCGAAATTGCTAGGAACAATGAAGATGGAGCTATCCTGTGTTTCTAGGACCGGTATTTGGGAGACGGTTCAGGTTCCTATGATTGTTTGGCTAATATGTAGATTATTGTCTCAAGGTTAACTTCAGTTATATCCTATCTTATACTTCTCTGTTCTTTCTAATGATCTGTGTGTAGTTTTGAAGTATCATTCTAGGGCTGCTTCATATAACATAGCCCATTATCAATATCTTATTAACCCTTGCTTATCTCCAGTTATGTTATGTACTAGCCTAGATAACCATCAATTCAAGCGATGCTTTAGCTTCCATGTTTTACCCAGTAGCTAGCGTTCCTACGCCTTAATACTTCATATACATGGAATTCATGTGCGACTGGTGACAAGTACTATTGGAAGCAGCTGACGAGGATAACAGTCAATCCTTCGCTTACTGCCACCCTTGAATGATGATGATATTGAGTGCGGGGCAACTTTTCTACTATCTTCTGGATACCAACTGCTTGTATTTTCGGTATAATGACCGCGATCAGGGTCTCCGAAAATACATAAAAGAATGTCACGAACCTGCCTTACGTGGCTATGTTGTCAAGAGTTAGCTAAGAATCCAGCAAGGCGCCAGGTCAATACCGGCTCTTATATTCATTAAACACCCTTACAATATCCTCAGTTAATTCTGACAGTGTAAAATTAGATGACTGGTTCGTCTTTATTAAGTCAAAATCAGTCTTTATTTAGCTGGTAGAAAATAAAAGCTTAATTTCTTCCACATATCCTCTCTCAGCCGTAAATATAAGTAGTATTATACTATTTTTATCCTTCCTACCTGTATTAATTTTCTTCGTAAGCAGTAACTGCATAATATACATTTATTCTAGTTGTGCTGTACTCGCGAGTATTGTAGTATTATATTTATTAAATAAACTCAGATTAATCTTTTTATAAGCAAGAAGAGTCTCTATTATATCTGTATATCTAGCTGTAACAGCTGATAATAAAGTCCGGCTTCCAAAGTTCAGCTAATAATTAGATTTTATAGTAGAGATAGTAAGAAGCATTTTTATAATATATATATATCTAGTTCTTACAGCAGCCAGAAATAGGATTTCTCTACTTTTAAATTAGGCATCTACATCCATATCTTTAATTACTAGAAGGCGCTGGATAACTCCTAAATACTTATTCAAGACTACAGTAATTAGTAATATTTATTTAAACTTAGTCTTTATATTTATATCTACTTTTCCTGTATCTAGCAGTTTCTTTATTATATTTTCTGCTCCTGCAGCTGCGGCAGTTATAAAAGTATTTTCCCGCACTTAGTCCAGCAATCCGGCTGGATATTTTTTGTCAATAATAATAATTTCATGATAATAAGATAATTATCTGCCTTTAGATGCACAGCTTCTGTGATTGTTGTTGGCCTGGACAAATTACATATTGTAGATAGAGAAGACTGGTCATATCCTGCTGTCCAGGTAAGTAAAGTCTCAAGATATATATCAGGTATATTTGAGTTTATCTTCTCCGCATAGAGAAGAATTACAGAGACCTCAGTATGGCTATTTCCAGCAGCCCATGAAAGAGACATTCTGTACTGTAGATTATGAATATTGGGATTAGCACCTTCTTACAGCAGGTGGTTGTAGAAGTCTGGTTTATCATATTAGACAGCCTATATCAAGACTACGCTACCTTGATAGAAGATTTAGTAATAATAGAGAACAAGATTAGTAATAATATACAGTATTTTAGATGTCTTAGCAAGAGAATTCACATCTTGCACCAATGGGAGGAGAAGGGTAGTAATATAGAAAAGTAATTCAACTGGGAGGTTTGGTAAAGACATGTTATCCAGAGGTGGGATAGGATGAGGACTAAGATCATGTAGGTACTTCAACGCAGGGCAACGTTGTCTGTGGTGCCTGAAAAATGCCTCAAACATTAGGCACTCAACTCCTAGGGTAGTATATACTCGTCGGACAAATTGGAGAGAGTGCCTCTTCATTTGTCAACAGGACACGCATGACATAGTCTGCCGCTAGATGAAGCGAACCTGAAGGCAAGGTGCATTGAATATAAGTGCCTAGCATATCTGTTATTCGTGCGAAATCCGTCTTAATTCAGGTAACTCCCATTTCATTTTTGTGATCGTATGTACTGGTTTCTACTTGGGCTTAAATCATTTAGTTAGTTTCTTGGAGAGCTTACTACTTGACGCTTTGCCAATGATCGCGGAGCCAGTGTCAAGTACGTAGGTATGGGAAGCCGAAAATAAGTAAATATGATCAACCTTAAATATCAATGTTTCTAACGGCTTGGATCTCTGATTTCCTCCGGGAAAATGGCTCGTTATAGATACTTTCATTGCTGGCCACATACCGGGATGCGTATTCTCAATTCGGTATAAATACTTATGTATAAATATTGTCAAATATATGCAAAGAAACCGAAATATGAAGCTCAATATCGACAATCAAAGTAATTAAACCAGAAAAGTATAAGAATATAAACAAAATCTATATGCATATGCAATCTCCCAACACAGAAACAAAACAAAACCACAGAAGCAAACCACATCATGCATACACATACCCCGAGAAATAACAAAACAGCAGAACAAAAACAGACAACACCATCATGCAATCTATATGACATCTATAGATCAATCTTATCTTCTCGAAAAACTCAAATATCATCATCTACCCCAACATCCCCATAATCTTTTCAATCTCTCCCGCAATTTCATCAACAAGCTTATACACCTCTTCAACACTCATAACACCTCCTTCAACTCGAACACCGAACCCGATTGAATCCGTCTTAGCATCTGGACCAACATCGATGAATATATTTTCTGACGGTAGGAATTCCGTTTCGAGTGCCGAGACGGCAGTGACCTCTTCAGCCAAAGGCTGTTCGGGAATGAAATCTGTAGGGACACCGATCCGCAACGGGGAGAAGAAGTCCTCTGAACCAACTGACGTGGTAGTAGTATCTTGGGTCCAGAGGAGGTTCACCCAGGTGTTGAAGAGGGGTTTGTCGGGTGAGATCCACTGGAGGACGTTGCGGAGAGAACTTTGTTCGTAGGAGACGCGGTCCGCGAGAGAGGATTGGATAGCGCGAACTTGGGTGAGAAGGTCGGTGTTGACGGAGGTGGTGTTTGCGTTGGGGATGGTGAAGGGGTTGACGTTCAGACAGGGTCCGGAGAGGTTTTCGATGTTATTGAAAGAGGCAGAGCGACCGGCTTGGTAGAGACCCATGGTTGGGTTTTGGACATTGGTGAGACGTGCGATGCAGCGGGCTATGGCGAAGAGAATGACGGTTTGAAGGCTGACGTTGGAGGATCGGCATTTTGTTTCGAGCTGGGAGAGATCCTTGACCTTTTCCCAGACTCCTATGAAGAGCTGGTCTGGAGTGGATGGGGTATCGGTGCGAGTGTTGCGGATAATGGTCGGCGAGGCGTCACCGAGAGTAGTGTTCCAGTATTGCTTTTCATCGAGGTCCTGGAGAGAGCGCACTGAGAAGTCGACGAATGAAGGGAAATCTGTGTTTGTTTCGGGGGTTTGACCATGGTAGAGCTGTGCTAGCTCTTTAACGAACATCGGCATGGTCCATGCATCGTACGCGGCGTGGTTTATGAGGACGAGAATGCCATCTCTGTCGCTAGCTTTCAGTAGACGGAGTCTAACTGGAGGCGTGTAAAGTGAGGATGGGTGAAGAGCTTCTTCTCTTGCTTGCGCTTGGGCTGCTTCAGAAATTGGACTAGAGGTCTCGATGACCTGGAATGTGCTTGCATCACGCATTGCCTGTTTGAGAACAATCTGTACTGCTTCCGACGAGGAGGTAGCTGCAAAGCAGGTGCGGAGGATAGGATGTCTTTGACGGAGCTGGAACCAAGCTTCCTCAATCTTGGCACTGTCGATGCGCTCGGAGCAGTGGTATGCCCAAGCAGGTTCGAGCAGTCTCCGCCCTGACTTCAACCAGCTGACGAGGTGATAAAACTGGCCACCGAGACAAGGTAAAATTGCTTCGACAGAGTCCTTGCTGAGATTGAGCTGCTGTAGTACAGTTGTTTCCACCTCGGCGTAATTTTTGATGAGTGAGCCCTGAGCTTGAATTGTCTTTTCGGAACTTGGCTGGAGACGTAGGCTGATACCACGAAGGGTGTTTCCCTGAAGGATGTCGGCTACCCCAATCTTCAACCCCTTTGATCGACAAATTGAAGCAATGCGGATAGCTGTGAGTGAATCCAATCCAATATTGAAGATGCTAGTGTTCGGCTTGATGTTGTCCACAGAAACCCCAGCGATCTCAGCGAGTACAGATTGGATGATGGCTTCATGGGGTGGTGCTTTAGATGCTTCAAGATCAAAGGCGAGCGACTGCTCAATGGCCAGCTTTGTCGGGAGCTCACCAAGGCCATGTGGCACAATCGTAGCGCATCTGGTAGGATGTTCGATGATGTCACGGAACGCAATGGCAAATTCATTCATGAGATGGTCAAGAGTTTCCTGGGAGATGTACCGACCATTGCAATTTGCTCGTGCCACAAGTCCATCGTGGGCATGGTCGACCTCAACATTCAGCTTATATTCTGCCTGCGCCGCGTAGTCGTCTGCTTCATAAGGCGTCCAAATCTGTTGTTCTTCTATGATACTGCCGGCGAAGTCCGCACTCTTTTGGAAGACGAATAGAGTATCGAACAGGACGGACGACGTACTGTTGTTAGCCTGCCTGAAGGAATTCTGTACGACTCTTAGTGGCGCGTTCTGATGGCTCTGCGAGTCGACTGTATGCTGTTGTAGACGCTGAGCCATGGACTTGTTGCTTAGGAACTTGGGCTCGAAAGAGACTCTCTGAGCAATTGTGTTGAACATCGGCCCAAGGGTTTGTTCGGCACCTGCAACAGGTAGCGAGCGACCTGCAAGGACTTGTCCAAAGACGACATCGCGTTTTCCAATCACACCTGCTAGTACCTTTGCATATGTCAGGAGAGATACACTCTGCACGGTGACCTCCATTGCCTTGCAGGCATCCACAATGGCCGACAAGTCAAGGTCAATACGGCATTCAGAGAGAAACATGCGGTCTGACGACTCAGGATGAGGAAGCTCAGGAATTTCAGTCACTTCGTATCCGAGTAGGTTTTCTGTCCAGAACTCGCAAGCTTCTTCTTGACCGCTTAGTAGATGCTGGACAGTTTCCGAGAATTGAGGCCTTATCGGAAGACTGCTCTCTTCATAGCACACTGCAAGGTCCTCAAATAGGAAGGGAATGGAAGAACCATCGTAGAGAGCATGATGCAGGACAATAACCAGTAATCTGCCCTCAGGCTGGTTGACTAGAGCAGACCGAATCGGTGGGACCTCGAAAGAAGCCTCTTCGCTGAAAGAATAGAGAGAGTCGACTTCAGTCAGAACATCTGCCCCGGAAGGCAAGGTGAGCTCTTCCCACTGGAAAGGAGGATTGCTGTGTACGGCACCAATCCAGGAAGAACCAAGTTCAGCGATCAGGTGAAAGGATGTACGCAGAATATCATTGGCCTCGATGACTCTGAAGAGAGCCTCTTTCAGCCGGGTAGTATCGACCGAATCCTTCAACCTGATAATATGCGGGTGAACGTACACCTTTCCGCTTGAAGAAATTGTCTGAGTAATCATTCCCGACTGCAGGGGCGTAGTTTCAAACATCGTGGAGATCGAATCATCCTCTGCAAGGAGTCGGACCCATTCGCCGTAGGTATCAACAGGAATACCAGTACTTGTTTTGCCGTGCCCATTGACGCCGTTCACTGGGGTTCGAGAACGTGATGTCTGCTCCACATGTAGGGCCAAAGCACCCACGCATGAGAAGCGCATAACATCAGCAGAGGAAACTTGAAGCCCTGCTTCACGTAGCTGACGCGCAAATTGGATCGCAGTCACTGAATCAATACCTAAACTCAAGAAAGAAGCCCCTTTTGTGACTTCAGCCGAAGTCAATCCGCAGAAAGACATTGTGTAATCACGAATCGTGGTTTCCGTGGTAGACCATGTGGTATTGTCCCAGTGCACAGCAGAACGCGATCCAGATGTCGATGAGTGAGAGACATTGAAGTCGTCTAGTGAAAGACTCTGACCCGCTGCAATGCTCGAGAGCACTGCGTCCATCTTCTCCACCAATTCATTTCCACTGTAAGAGGAGCCAAAAGCAGATGAAAAGAAGCAGTTGAGCTGAACTGTGTCCATGGAATGGTTGGCCTCGACTTCCACTGCCAACGGATACTCGGCAGGCATGTTGCTGTCTAGTTCCTGCCACAGGCGGTGTTGTGGTGGCGCAGCAGTCCTGATATAAGAGAATAGACAGTCGAACAGAGGTGTCTCTGCATTGATCCATCTCTGTATGTGCCTCAGGGGTGTATGCTGGAAATCAAGCGACCCTACAGTAGACTTTTGGACATCCGCCACAACATCGTCAACTGTACTCAGGCTAGCGGTATTGAGACGACCGGGGACAGTAGTGATGCACGGCAGAAGTACCGAGGAGGCTCCAGGAACCGACACAGCTCTACCGGAAAGGACCAAACCGTAGGTCACATCTGACACACCAACAGTATCGGCCAGCAAGAGTGCGAAGATTGCTTGCACCAAGGATGGCACAGTGGTCTGAAGAGCTGCAGAGCGGTGCTCCAGTTCAGAAAGCTTCACACCAACCTTTCTATGTACGACAACCGGAGGCTCCATGGCATTGAAGTCAGTGCGGAAGGTTGTCGGATGGCATCCTTCCAGATAGCGGACCCAATGTTGCTTGGCCTTTTCTGAATCCTGACTATAGACGTATTCAATGAAAGCCGAAGGCGAGCCTCTC